GTTTGAGCATTCTTTGGGATTGCCTTTCTTTGGGATTGGAATGAAAACTGACCTTTTCCAGTCCTTTGGCTATCCCAAACTATTTTCGAAAGTAACTATACAAGTCTGCCATTGTCCATTTGTCCATCACCTCTTGGTGCTGACTGATTTTTAAAATATAATCTTTTTTATGGCTTATAAAAGCCTCATTGCCTCCCTCTCTTTAAAAAACATGTTTTTTATTGGAGGATAATTGCTTTATAACATTGCACTGGTTTCTGCCATACGGCAACACAGATCAGCCACAGGTATATATATGTCCCCTCTGTCTTGAACCTCCCTGCCATCTCCCTCACCATCCACCCCTCTCGGTTGTCTCAGAGCACTGGATTGAGCTCCCTGGGCCACACAGCAAGTTCCCATTGACTGTCTTACATATGGCAGTGTATGTGTTTCCATTTACTCTCTGTATCCGTCCTGCCCCCACCCCCCCTTCCCTACTGCCTTCTCTTCTGCCTGTCTGTGTGTAGACAGTATCCACGTAGACTTTAATTTTATCTTTGTTCTCTGTTTGACTTTAATTTCTTTGAGATCAGAGTTGACCTTCTACCTCTTGAAAACTGATCAGAGTTGTGCACGCAATAGATATCTATGATCAGTGTAATTTATTTTGTATTTCTGAAGCATTAAGCTGTTAGTAAAGGATAATGAAGCACAGATTGTGTGTATGTGTGTGTGTATATATATATATATTCACAAATGCATACATACACAGTATTAAAGTACTGTGTCTTATGAATAATACATGGAATCAAGACGATTTAGTATGGTAAAATGGGAATAGTTTTGATTAGGGAATAAGAATTTTCTACTAATCTTCCTAATCTTTACATAAGTGAGACTTCACATTTTTTTCTTTTCAGTGTTTACCTGTTTAGAATTTTTTCACCAGCAGGTACAGAGGTGCATCTGCTTTTTTTTTTTTTTTCCTATTATCCTTGCTAATTGTCTCCCCCACCTCTCCTCACCCTTGTCTTTGGCAAATGATAATTGTTGACAGGGGTAGTATCCAAGTGTTACGAATTTGGAAATCTTGTGCCTGGTCTCTTGAAGGCTATTAATGCCTTGGATATGTTTTGTGGGTCATAGCCAACATCAAGGTGGATAGATGACATTATAAAATATAATGAATTGAAAAATAGTTGCTTTTGAGTTAATGTCAAGATTTTCAGCATTAAACCTTTGTTTTTAAATTACTGGCTTTGAAAACTTAAAAAATAAGACATAAATCTTGAAGGCATTTCCTTTTTGGTTTTTAGTAAGAATCATATTCTGACATTTAAACAAAATTCTGCAGCTCAGTTTAGCTATTTCCAGATAAATTCTGAACAAAATCATAGCTTATTTAAAGCTACTAATATGACTAATATAGGTCATTGTCAGAGACTGAGTTATATTTTGGGTCTCACCTCTCACCCCTTTTCCATCCTTTGTTTCTCTCCCTCTCTGGCTTTCTGATAGTCTCGGATTTAAGGTGCTCATAGGCCAAAGCAGAAACCAGTTATGGCAAGCGGTTGTATTGCTGTGTGTTACCGCTGTATTGCAAAGTGGTGCGTTGACCCACACGGTATAGAGCAGTGGTCAAGGGCATGCTGCTGACTGGCTGTGACACGCAGCCTCCGATGTCCCGTTCCTCTTCTGCTACGAAGTGCTATTACACTTATTTGCCTCTTAGGGTGATATGAGCACTGAAAAAAAAATTTAATCACTGTTAAAGTGCTGAGATCACTGCCTGACTTTCAGTAAGCACCTCAGTGAATATTTCTTGTTACTGTTTTTATTTATTGTGTAAGTTTTGTAATGCAGAGTTGAGTCAAGACCAAGATGGATGTTTTCCTAACTTATTGCCTAGTAAATCAGGAAAGACTGTTGAAGACATAAATAACTTTTTAGCTTAGTCTTTAAGAATGCTTAGGTGTATATCACATGGCAGAGGGTTAATGGTATTTCATTTTGAGAGCTACGTATACTGAAGGTATGGGGACATGTAAAAGCACAAGATACAAGATGTTGGAGAGCTACAGGTAGCTCAGTTTGTTCTTTCTCACAAAGCTGTTTTGAGGAATAGATGAGATCCTTGAAACCACTTTGTAAGGTATCAAGCAGTTAAAACTTCCATTCTTTTTGCATTTCTTTTTGTTCCCTGGGCTAGAAGCATGTGAATTTTATTGTTTAGTTGCTCAGTCATGTCTGACTCTTTTGTGACCCCCAAAACTGCAGACTGCCAGGCTCCTCTCTCCATGGAATTTTACAGGCAAGAATACTGGAATGGGTTGCTATTTCTCCAAGGGATTTTCCCAACCCAGGGATCGAACCTGCATCTCCTGCATTGCAGGTGGATTCCTTATTGTTGAGCTACCAGGGAAGCTGAACTAATGAATAACACAGCCTAATACAGGGAAATTGCCCCTCAAGAAAGCATGTTGAAAGAGCAGTTAATAAGGAAGTGAAAAGAGAACTGCAGATTCAGAAGGAAAGAATTTAGCTTACTCAAATAATTATGAGTTAAGCTTAACATTTGTTTTATAATTTAACCTTGAATAGTATATGTTGGGGGGAGCATGAATTGACTCACTGTGTGCCTGAATTGTGTTGTGAAAAATATTTGACTTAATCATAACATGTGACTTTGCCACCTGGCCAAGTCAAATCAGATTCTTTTAATGTTAACTTCTTCATCCAAAGAATAGGGATGATAATGTCTATTTCATCTTTTGTTGTAAGGTTAATATGGAATGTGCAGTTATATTCTCTTTAACGGAATTCTGCTATACTTAAAAAACTCAATCTTCAAAAACCTTGTATTCACTAGACTCTGCCTCAGATTCCACGAGAAGGCCATAGTAAGAATGAAAAGTTTGTGATACTAAATATAGTTATATAATGTGCCATAACCTCTGGGTGTTCTTTTTAATTTACATATAAAAATATATAATGTGAGTGGATTGGGTTCTTTTTATTTTATTTTTTGGATTGGGTTCTTTTTAAAAGACAGTGGTTTAGATTCTTTTAAATAAGATTCAATTATCTTTCTGTGCAGTTAAACAGACAGATTATTTTTTTGGGATAAGTGAATTTTAAATAGTCAGTGGTTAAGTATTTTTGGTCCTTAATGAAACAGAGGGGTCATTTATCTATAGAGCTGGTAGGATTACTTGATCACTTTTTAAGTAAGACTGTGAGGAAGAAGACTCACTACCTCATTACTGACCTTAATTTTTGTAGCATGTTTTACAGTTATATCCTCTCCAAGTTCTTAGTATTTGTGAGCATGGTTGCTTTCATAAAATTTAGTAACTTAGAATTTTCTTTAAAAAGGTGTAAGACATTCATAATGATCAACGAATAGGCTTAATTTAGCTTATGAATTTGAAAATATTATTTTCTTGTAAATGTGTAAAATTAAGAAATATGTGGAGTTACTAATGAGTAAGACCAAAAAGTACTTATAAAAAGAGAATTTTCCTTAACTAGCAATTTGACTCAAAATTAACATTATCCTTTTGCTAGTCGTTTGGCTTTACTCTCTTGTTTGTTTCTGTTGGTTGGTCAAGACACATCTCTCTGCTAATTTTGCCATAACCCCTGGGTGCTCTTTTTACTTTATCTCCATCTTGTTTTTCTTACATATACTTTCATCCCCTTTCTGACACTGTTTCTGTAGTATATGTCTGTTTGATAATTTACACAGTGGACTTTCTCTTAGGCAAGTGTTCAAGAACCATGGCTGCTGTCTTTCCCCTCTGGTGCCTGCACTCACTCCTCCCCTTGAGGGGACAGCCTTTGCTGTGTCCGCTTGTGCAGCTTCCTTGTCTGTTCCTTTTTGTACACGAGTCAGGAGTACTCACTACTTAACTCCTTTTGCCACTTTACCAAGTTCAGACTTTGTTTTCAGGTGACTGTAACTTACGAGTTAGCCCCACCGGACTTTGCTCTTTTCATTTTTTAAAGAATTGTGCACTCAAGAAATTTAAGGCAGCTTTGGTAACTCATCTGTGTTCACTTGTGCATTATGTTTCGACTTTCTTAGAAAATGTTTTTTTAAATGTGTGTTTTTTAAGGCCAGAGGCTTTGCCTGTCCTCTGCTATTTTTGTGTTATCCCCTTCTAGCACACCGCATATAAAAAAGTGAGTATAATAAGTGTTCATGAATGACTCTGACTCATCAGGCGTTTATAGTGGCTTCTTACCCTGCCTGTCTTTCTTATAGAATTGAGTCAGAATTCTGATCCATGCCTCATGTGTAAATATCTTAACTAAAAATACTCAATATTAATTCTAAAAACTCCACTTTGACTAGGCTTTGACATTTGATTAGGCTGACTGACCCAGATCTTTGATTGGAGGTATATTTTGTACTTCATAGTATTGAGTAAAATAACAAAATATAAGTTAGGCAAGTTTTTTAGATCACTGTTTTACACACCTAGAAAGAAATTTGAATAAGTCTTAAACTTGTGTATCTTAAGAATGTGTTCATCAAGAAGAGCAAAAATGAGGGATCAGTAGAATTAAGCATGCTAGAGCAGTAAATGGTATTGTTGTGCTAAAGCTCTTACTAGCTATGAAATTTTCAAAGCCAAAAATCAGAATTGCCATACTGTTATTTAAAATAATTTTTAATAGCAGAGGGATAGTTTTAATTTTTAACTCAAATGGGAGATTATAAATATGTTACATACCCTAAAGAATCTAGTCCGTAGATTTTAGTGTTTTCATTTTGTGCCAAAATTTTGTTGGTAACCCTTAAATTATATTAGTAGAGCTTAGTGAAGTGGAACAATAATAAGACCATAACTTAGTATATAACAATTTAATTCTTCTCGTTTAAAATATTTTCAGTTTTTATACTGTTGACTAAAACATTTAGTAGGAAATGATATTGCTCTAAAGATTGTTTGAATAATTGGAACAATTAAAAATATTAGGAAAGGAAAAAAATTGTTCAATTGATATTTCAGAACTTGACTGAAAAGTTGCAGAAGAAAGAACTGGACTATACTCAGTTAGAAGAGAAACATAATGAAGAATGTATGAGTAAAAAGAATATACAAGCAAGCTTTCATCAAAAAGACCTGGATTGTCAACAGCTTCAGGCAAGGTTATCTGCATCTGAAACCTCACTGCAGAGAATACAGGCAGAACTAGGTGAAAAGGGAGAAGCTACTCAGAAGCTCAAAGAAGAATTGTCAGAAGTGGAGACTAAGTACCAGCATCTTAAGGCAGAGTTTAAACAGCTACAACAACAGAGAGAAGAAAAGGATCAGCATGTGTTACAACTGCAAAGTGAAATTAATCAAGTAAGAGCTGTTACTTTTACTTAACTGTACTTCCTCCTATGGTTTCTTCATGTGTTTGATCATAATATAGTTCATTAAAAAAATTGTCTCTTAATTTTTTATATCCTGTCTCATTGAGTTAGATCTCATTTAGGTTCCCCCTAAAATGATAGTATCTATCATATAGTATTGTTGTGCATTGTTTATTGGTTATATACATACAAATTGCTTAAGATGGTACCTGTCACATGGTAAGTACTCAGAAGGTATTAGTTATTGCAATAATTCATGTTGTTGATCATAAAATTAAAAATTAAAAAAACTTTTGTCTTTTTTCTTGTTACTAATTTTCAAAATATACTTACTATTAAACCAATAATATAAAAATTAGATATTTTAAAAAATTAGTTCTAACAGCTGTTCTTTATTAATTTTTTATATAAATAATATTTATCAGATGAAGTTTAATGGAAGTTTTGACTTTGCTATTAATTTATGAATTTTGTATTCTAATTATTTCTTATAGGTACCATTAAAAATTAGTAGGCAAATGGAAATTTGAGGGAGATTAAAGTTCTCAGCCACTTTTTTGAAAATTTTCAACTATTTTTACTAAAATGGCAGTGATACTTGCTTCTGTGGCATTAAGCCTCTTCTTAGCCTGAGATACTCTTCCTATTTCTCTTCTCCTTGATAAATACTACTTCACTTGTCATATTTCCAGAAATCTTTTTCTACATATTGCCACTTCTCACCACCCCCCACTCCAGAGATGGCTTAAGCTTGTACATATCTCGATTACTTTACTTGTCATAGTCTAGCATATTATCATAACTTAGGTATTTTCACTAGACTCTAAACTCTTTGAGTGCAAAGACCATGTTTTATTTTGTTTTTTATCCCAGCTACCTGACATATTGCTTATCAGCAGATGTTTAGTGAGTATGTAAGTGAATGAATAAATATAGGCATTCATAATAGAAAGAAACATAGGCTTGGGGATATCAATGAATAAATTAAATATGACTTAGATATTTGCCTTTTAGTTCAATTATACAGATTGGGCATTTATGGTTTCTAAAAGATATGATACCTTGTTTATTAGAAGTTACAGAGACGGAAAGGGAAATAGGACCTACCTTAAATGATTTTGTAAATCTCATTGAGGTTAAAGGCAAGTACTATCCTACTGCAGTGAATGTGAAAATTAAAATGATTCCATATACTATGGGAATTAGGAAGAGCTCCTCTCCTGCTTTCTTTCTCCTATAGTATTTCATATTGTATAATTATTTAGCTGTTAATGTGATCAAGAAAAGCTTGTTGTGAGAGAGAGGTGGTGCTTGAAATTGTGAATATTGGCTAGGTTTTGACAAGTAGCAGTTTGAAGGCAGGAGGGTCTTCCAGGCAGAAAAATAAACTAGAGGTGTGTGTGCTAAGCTGCTCCATTTGTGCCCGACTCTGGGAGACCCCCTGGACCATAGCCTGCCAGGCTCCTCTGTCCCTGGGATTCTCCAGGCAAGAATACTGGAGTGAGTTGCCATTTCCTCCTCCAGGGTATCTTCTCTACCCAGGGATTGAACCCACATCTCCTGCATTGGCAGGCAAGTTCTTTACCACTAGCACCACCTGGGAGGCCCCAAACTAGAGGCAGGGGTGTATTATAAGAACCAGTGACAGGCGTTTGCTCTGAGGATATGGTATATGTAATATCAGTGGACTATTTTGAAGACTTTTTTATGTAGAGTCTTGAATAGCAGACTGAGGAATTTGAGTTTCATTCAGTGAATGGAGGGGCAACAGGAATTTTTGTATTCATAACTATTTGGTTTAGTCACATTTCTATACAAAATAAAGAGGTCATTCTGAAGACCTTGAAGTGATACCGTTTATCTTCTTCCCTTCAGTATGCTGTCTGGATTCTACGTTCAAAATGAAAGTGAAAGTTGCTCAGTCATGTCCAGTTCTTTGTGACCCCATGGACTATACAGTCCATGGAATTCTCCAGGACAGAACACTGGAGTGGGTGGCCATTCCCTTAAGGGGATCTTACCAACCCAGGGATTGAACCCAGGTCTCCCTCATTGCAGGTGGACTCTTTACCATCTGAGCCACCAGGGAAGCCCCTGCCTTCAAAGCCTGACTCAAATCTGTCTACTTCTCTTCATCGATACTGCTACTACCCTAATCTAAGCTGCTGCCATTGTTCACCCGGTCTACTGCATTAGCCTTTTTAAAGTTTCTTTCTTCCAGGGGCCCTCCTTTGTCTATTCTCCATACAGAAAAAGTGAAAACTGGAAGTGAGTTGCTCAGTCATGTCCGACTGTTCGTGACCCCATGGACCATACAGTCCATGTAATTCTCCAGGCCAGAATACTAGAGTTCCCTTCTCCGACAGCTCTTCCTGACTCAGGAATCGAACCGGGGTCTCCTACATTACAGGCGGATTCTTTACCAGCTGAGCTACCAGGGAAGCCCATTCTCTACCCTGAAGCCAGAGACATTGTTTTAAAGTATGAAGGATGTAGCTTCATTTCTCTTAACCACCTGGCATGGTTTTGGTTAGATTTTGAGTCCAGATGTCGTCTTGGTCATGTAAGCATGTGTGTGTAGAATGGTCCACACTGTCTTCAGGCTCCTCTTCTACCAGGCGAAGCCATGCTGGTCTCCTCTGAGTTCCTCAAGCACACCGGCACTTCAGCAGAGAGCTTTCCTGCCTTAGGTCCTTTGCCCATGCTTTTTTCTTAGAGTGTTCTTTATTTCACTTGCTTAAGTATTGTTTCTTCAATAAAGCCTTTCTGGACCTCTCTAAAAGGTTTCTCAGGTGGGGCAGTGGTAAAGAAGCCACCTGCCAATGTAGGAGATGCAGAAAATGCAGGTTAGATCCTTGGATTGGGTAGGTCCCATTGAGAAGGAAATGGCAACCCACGCCAGTATTCTTGCCTGGGAAATCCTATGGAGATAGTTTGCTCATCTGTCAAATAAGGATAAGAATAGAATTGTCTTCACAGGATTATTATAAGGATTAAGTTAGTTAATATTTGTGAACCTTTTAAAATACGGCCGGCACTTGACAAACATTACAGACATAATGAATAAAGTATATGAGTTTACAAAACTGAACATATACATATACATGTATATATCAAAATGTAACTTTAGGCTAGACCATTCTATTAATGATTCCAACATGTATTATTTTTACTCTAAACTTATTCTTTTCTGTAACACATTTACTCTAGAATGATATAGGCATTATTGGTTAAGGGATTTTGGCCTGCTTTCACTCTTGTTCAGCTTTGATTTGCAACTCATTTCTTTATTAAAGATCAGGGATTTATCAGAAATTGTAAAGCAGTGAATGACTGTTAATTATAATATATAGTATCTCTTTTATTTACTACTTTAGTAAATCTTCACTTCAGAGCAATAGTTACCTTTAATTTGGTGGGTCACTCTGTCTGCAGTCAGAATCACCTGGGGAAATTTAAGAAATTATCTCTATCAAAGCCTCACCATTAGCTCAGTTAAGTGATAATCTCTGGCATAGGCCCAGGTATTGGTTTTCTCTGTTATTGTACTTTGTAGTTGAGATTGAAAACTGCTGCTTTTTAAAGTGTTGCTTTTTGGCAAATGATTCCTAAACTTTCCTGAAGCTCAGTATTCTCTAATTCTTTTGTTAGGAAACATAGATTTCTGGGCTTCAGCTCAAGTGTACCAAAGCTAAATTTTAGGGGACAAATCTCATTCTCTCTGTGTTAATAATGACATTGGAAGATTCTTATCCAGCAAGTTAGGAACTCGACGTAGGGGTGGACGTAGTGCTTCTGAGATCACATATGGGGATTGGACCTACTTTTGAGGAGGAGAGGGTTTGGATAGTTATTACAGTGCTAATTCACTGCACTTTAAGAAGAGGCAGGGGAAGAAGAAAATGTCATCCTAAGGATAAGAATGTAATAAATGACTAACTGTTACTGATTCCTGTTTTATAACTAAAACAGGAATGGAATGTATGTTTTAGTTTAGAAATTCACTTCAGTTTTCTTTTCTTTTTTTTTTTTTTGGCGTCCCTGGGTGGACCTGAAACTTTAGTTTTCTTTGAGTATAGAATATATTTTGACAGTCACATGTTGTTTCATAGCATAGGAAAATAGAGGGTGTCCACTTTTCTGATAGAACTTTATTTTTTCTTTGGCAGCTGTGAATTTTTTATGGAGAAATATGAAAGTATAAAGCATATCAATGTATATTTGACATAAAGGCTATAGATCCTTAATATTTTCAGATATAACATGAATAGGTTTGATTGAAAACAGCTGTATAGAATGCTTGTGATTAGTCTTCAGCGTTGCTGAGGCACATGCTGACATTTGACTTGATGTGGTGTGAAATCGGGGTGCACTCTGACGGTGTAAACCTTGCCAAATGTCTTGCTTCCTTATCTTCGTGCTCCTCTTTTTTGTTCTGCACTCCTAGCACTTGTGCAGTAATTCTTCTAAAATTAATACAAACCTTTTTTTTTTTAAACTGCCCCCCCCCCCCCCCCAGCCAATCCCACAAGAGAAACCAGCTGTTCTTTCTGGTAAAATTAGAGAAAATAAGGAATTCCAGAAAGTGACAGCTCTTAGCCCCCAGACAAGTTTCTTCTTTAGTTTTAGCTAGGTGGCAATTTTAATGTTAATGAAATCACCCAATATTTTAATAAATATTCATTCCTCTATTTTATTTAGAGACTGTGTACCAGTTTGAGGACTTGAGAATACCTGTGCTCTTATTCAGTACCTAAATGTAAGAAGTCAATTGTGGTGGTTCATGACTATGGAAAAACAGAAGAATCATTTTGGATTTTTAAAAAACTTGTGGGAAAAAAAAAAAACTAGTGGAATAGGTCTGAGTGTGTCTTAAGTGTCTTACTTTTAAGTTTTGTTTTAAGTTCCTCAAGTGATGGCAACAGTTATCTTTAAATAAGAGCCTCAGGTTTGCTGTGTGTGTGTGTGTATGGTTTTTAAAAGTGTAAAAAACCTGAAACCTGTGATATGATTAGTTTTATGTGAGTCATCATAGTTTATGTGATTAAAATTCAGTTGGATCTTAGGTTCCTCTGAAGTACCATGAAAATTAATCTATTTCTATTGGTGAAAAATAAAACATTGTTTGGAAAGTAGGTGGTAGTAGTAATGACGATCAACATGTTTATACATATATATGTACTTTTTTTCCTTTTCTGAAGTTACATAGCAAACTTCTGGAGACAGAGCGCCAACTAGGAGAAGCTCATGGTAGACTGAAGGAACAGAGACAGCTTTCAAGTGAAAAGTTGATGGATAAAGAACAACAAGTGGCTGATCTACAACTCAAACTTTCTCGTTTAGAAGAAGAGGTAAACTCACATTTCAGATGAGTTTATGTTAGTACCTTTATCGATAGATTTGAGGCATCTTAAATGTTGTTGTGTTTAATCTTTTTATGGTCATGAGCTTTAATTGAATTTTTTTTAAGTTGTATAAAATTAAAACATCTCCAGTAAAAACATCCTGTTATTAACTACATTAAGTCATTTTTGTTGTGATTGTATTCCCTAAAGTTCTCAACAGAAATGTACAAAGAAGGCTACTCTTCAGCTTCAGGCAGGTTAAATCCTTGGGGGTGAACCTGTCAGGCTGCTCAAGAAGAGTCTTTCTACCGAGGAAGGACTGTTTCCTAATGAAACTGAAAAATGAACAGCTGCTCATAGCTTTATTGACACACAGTTGGTGCATATAAACTGAGTTTGCACTTAAGGATTTTCTCTTTTAAAAATAAAGCATATGATTGAATGCTATCCTAATTTTAATCTGTGGTTGCCAAAAATGGTTAACTATTATTTGGTTCAAGTAAAAGGTATCATTAAACTGTGTCTTTTATTAGAATTGAACAAACACTGAGAGTTAAAATCTATAGCTGCAGCAAAAGATTTTCTCCTAGACCCAAATATTAATTTGTAGATTTTGCTATTGTTTCCTAATAAGTAACAATTATGATTATGCAAAAAAGTAAAACAGATACTGATACTTTTAGATTATTGTTACAAAAATTTGTATATAATTCCTTGATCAGATTAGCATATGAAAACAATAATAAACTAAATGCCAACCTGGAGAAGGAATTTTATTCTTTTCAGGATGAGAATCTATTCTTAAGGAATAATTTCTTAAATTTTGAGGTTAAAATTCTCTAAGTAATGAGATATTGCTTTTAAAGTTATAATTTAATTTTCTATTCAGACTTGAGAATTGTGAGATTCGAAGTAATACCAGATGTTTATATGATAGCATTCTGCCCTTAAATTGTTAACTGACAGTCTACGTTTTTTTTTTAAGTTGAAGGAAAAAGTAACCAGTTCCACAGAATTGCAGCATCAGTTAGATAAAACAAAGCAACAGCATCAAGAACAGCAAGCTCTGCAACAAAACACTACGGCAAAACTTCGAGAAGCTCAGGTAAACAGTATTTGAAGTTTTAGCCTTTTAAACAAAGATGAACCAAGTCATTATTCTTTTGTTGTGAAGCTGGATAATGCAAAATCACTTGATAATGCAAAGCAGATGATTTTTAGTATCTGGATAATTGGAAAATTCTTTTCCTTTGATTGCTGTGTTGAAAAAATTTTCTAAATATAAAAAATTTACTATAAATATATTACTAAAATTTATATAAAAATTAAAATTTATTAAATTTCTTTTTAAAAAGAAATTAAATGATACTAAATTTATTTAAGATATTATTTAGATTGTTATTTATACATAATACATTATTAAAAATGACTTCTGAAAAATTTAAAAATGACAAATACATTTCTTAGTTGAGTTAACTCAGTAAAATATAACATTCTGTATTTCCTGTGATGGAACTTACTATTTATTGGCCATGTCTTTCCCTGTTTCAGCACTGTCATATAAGCATTAGAATTGTAGTTATAGGAATGTAAGTGATTGAGTTAAATTTGTACAGATTCTATAGCATTGCTCAAAAAATTAAAAAGAAGTTAAATTTTTGTTTTGATATGGGGAGAGGAAGATGGTACCCAGATGTTTGAAGTGAATTTGAATTTGACGTTGATCTATTCTGTAGTCTTCATTAATTCCTTGAATATTATGGAACACTATGTGTCAGGCACTGTGGTAAGCACTGAAATTAGAGTGCAGAGTCAGACATAGTGCCTGCTTTCTGGGAAATGGCAATCTAATGATACGCCAGCTAATGCTGGAGTTGAAAGGAGGCAGGAAGTAATACGCCTGTCTTTCTTGTCTGTCTTTGGATAGTAGCAAGGAGTCAGGTGGATAGAGATCCAAATATTAAATTCATTTATTTGTTCTTTCATTCAGTCAGTCAACAAATATATATTAAAGCCTCCTCTTAGCCATGGAAGTGATTTTGTGCAATGGTGGCAGAGATAACAGACAAAAATGTCTGTTCTCGTAGAGCTTAGTGAGGAAGACAAACAGTAGCCAAGGAAAATAGGCAAAATATATAGTGTGTTAGATGTGGTTAAGTGGTATGGGAAAAAGGGATGGGGAGTAGGAAATAATCTGGAGAGCTGGAGGTGGACTGCACGGTTGTATAGGGTTGCCAGGGAAGGCCTCTCTGACAGATAAAAGGTCTAAAGGAAGAGAGGGTTTGAGCCATATAGATATCTGAGAGAAGAGCATCAGTACTTTAAAAGACCCTGAGGCAGGAGGAATTCTTAGGGACATCAGGAAGCCAGTGGCTAGAGCGATGAGAGAGAGAAAGGGGCACAGTTGTAGAGATCACAAAGGGTCAGAACATGTCGAGCTTCATTAGTAATTTTAAGGATTTTATTATGAGTGAAATGAGAAATCATTGGAGGGTTCTGAGCAGTGGGATAGCATGATGGTACTTATAATTTCACAGGATTACTCTGTTGTATTGAGAGTAGACAATAGGGACACATCAGTGGAACAAATAAATGAGCTAAGAGACTACTTTAAAAATTAAGAGATTGTGTGGCTTGGAACAGAGTGTAAATAGTGTAAGTAGTGAAAATTAGTCAGATTCTAGATATACTTTTAAAGGTAAGGCTGACAGATTTACTGATAGATTGATATGGGGCAACAGAGAAACCAAAGATGATCCTAGGGATTTTGGCTTGGCTGGTTGGCAGGAGGGAGGTCAAACAAGATGAAGACTGGGAATCCTTTGGATTTGGCAACATGAGGTCATCAGTGACACTGATAAAGAGGAATTTGTGAAGAGAAGGAAGGTCAAAATCTTGTTAGAGGCAGTTCCAAAGAAAATGGGAAGAGAGAACTTTGATATAATGAATATAGATAACTCTGGAAGTTTATTATAAAGAGTGGCAGAGGGAGAGGGTCGTGAAGCTGAGACAGAGAATTCGGCATAGCTCTCCAGCCCCGTGGGCTTTCTCATCATGTGCCTCAGAGTTAAATGTTTTCATCCAGTCACGGACAGAGCTGGGAGGGGCTGAATTAAACATTCTCAGTTCCTTATTCCAAACTTTCCAGTTAGTTACATTCTAAATCCCTGGAGAGGAATAAGAGAAGGATGCTAAAGAGGACAGGCAGAGTTCTCATGAAAAGTCCTAAAAACAAAGAGATGTGATAAGTATACTTCTAGGTGTATATATGTGTATAAATTATTATGATAGTATAGACAGGACAGTTATCTAACTCACATCTGGAAAAGAGCAGTTACTGAAAATTTCCTTATAAGAGCAATCTGTTGCAAAGTTTGTGTAAATGTTTCTAGATTACAAAGATGGTGATAATGAGTAGCTCAGATGGTAGAGAGTCTGCCTGCAATGCAGGAGACCCATGTTCAATCCCTGGGTCAGGAAGATCCCCTAGAGAAGGAAATAGCAACCCGCTCCAGTGTTCTTGCCTGGGAAATCCCATGGATAGAGGAGTCTGCTGGGCTACAAGTACCTGGGGTTGCAAAGAGTCAGACACAACTTAGCGATTAAACAGCAACTACAGCATATTCCTGGTAGAAGTTGCAAGGAAAAGAATACTGAAGCTAGTATGAACTAAACTGTTAGGTTTGCTGGAGCCTAAGATGTAATTTGGGGCTTCTCTGGTGGCTCAGTGGTAATGAACTCATCTGCTAATGCAGAAGACACAGATTTCATCCCTAGGTTGGGAAGATCCCCTGAAAGAGGGCATGGCAACCCACTCCAGTATTCTTGCCTGAGAAATCCCATGGACAGAAGGAGCCTAAAGGGCTATAGTTCATGGCGTTGCAAAAGAGACACAACTTAGTGACTTAACAACAACAACAAAGGTGTAATTTAGAAATGAGTTGGAGAAGAGGCCAGAGCATTAGATGTTAGTAAGTTTATGAAAGGCCTTTCTGTCTATCCTTGAAGACAGAAAGGTATTGAAGGTCTTAAGATAGATGTGCCATAGCCAGATTTGATTTTTAAATAGATTATTCTCATGGTTTTGTGAAACATGGATTTCTGAGAGAATATTCTGAAACAGGAGATCAGTTAAAAGACTTAATATATGTAGTAGATTAGATGAAAAGTGATGGTCTTAGTTGAAGCAATTGCTAAAAAGTATCATAGGGACAAATATGAATAATACTTTGGAGGTAAAATAAATAGGACTTATTGACTTAATCGGTGTAGGAAATGACAGAGAAAGGGAATGACTTTCAGACTGATAACTCTGGCTGTATGATAAATGGAGGTATTGTCCACTGTGTTAATTAACATGAGAAAGATGGTCAGTGTGATGAGTTCAGTTCTGGACATGTCTTGAGGCACCTATGGGATGTATTAATTTAAGGCCTGTTGGAAGGGACCATGTTATTTATTAGCTGTGAGAGACAGTATTTATGGGGTAAATGAAATTATTAGAAGTGGTCAACCAGGGAGAGAGTATAATGATCTAAATAGACGAGTACTAACACAAGACATTTAAGGGTTGGGTGAGTAGAACAGCCCAAAGAAAGGGAATCATCAGAGTAATAATTAAGGAGGACTTGCAGAGTGAAAGCCAAAGGCCTAGGGAGAGTGAGCTTGGGAGTAATCAGCAACCGTGAGGATGTGGTGAGGGCCCGCAGTGTGATACGTGAAAGATATCACTAGGTTAAGCACTGAACAATCAGTGACGTTGTTAAACATCGTTTCAATGAAGTGATAGATACGAGTGTCTGGTTTTTGACTAGTAAATACGAAATGAGAGAGTTGAGAAAGTAAGTATGCATTACTTTTGAAATTTAAGTGCGAATTATGTAAAGACTGGGCAAAAACTGGAGTGGAACTTCATCTAGGAAGTGTTTCTTCCTAGAGTGAGGATAATTGAGGATACTGGAGAATGGGAGGTGACTGAGGAATGAGGTGTTCATAAACTGTGATGTCACTGGTAACAGTGGGTGGTGGTGAATTCACGCTTAGCCTCTGAGGAAAGGAGTGTGTGTGTGTGTGTGTGTGTGTGTGCGTGCGTGCGTGCGTGCACGCGCGCGCGCGCAGGCACAGTGCACACGCTGTGGTTGGTCGCTTAGTCATGTCCCACTCTTTGCAACCTCATGGGCTGTAGTCTTCCAGGCTCCTCTGTCCATGGGGATTCTCCAGGCAAGAGTACTGGAGTGGATTGCCATGCCCTCCAGGGTATCTTCCCAACCCAGGAATGGAACTGGGGTCTCCTGCATTGCAGGTGGATTCTTTACCTGCTGAGCTGTCTGGGAAGCCTGTGTGTGTGTATGTTTTATTCATTTATTTATTGAGTATAATTGATTTAGTGTTAGTTTCACATGTACAGCAAAGGGATTCAGTCCTCTCCTCTCTCTGCCTCTCACTATATATATACACACAGATACATATATATAAAATCTACAACATATAGATTATACATATAGTTTATATATATGTACACATATGGTTTATCAGGGTCTTTTCCTTTATAGATTATTATAAAATGTTGAGTATAGTTGCCTGTGCTATAAGTAGGTTCTTGTTGGTTATCTGTTTTATTTATGTTGTTGTTCAGTCGCCAAGTTGTGTCTGACTCTTTGTGACCCATTGGACTTCACGCCAGGCCTCCCTGTCCCTCGTCATCTCCCAGAATTTGCCCAAGTTCATGTCCATTGAATCAGTGATGCTGTCCAACCACCCTCTGTTGCCCTCTTCTTCTACCTTCAATCTTTCCCAGCAGTAGGGTCTTTTCCAGTGAGCTGGCTGTTCACATCAGGTGGCCAAAGTATTGGAGCATCAGCATCAGCCTTTCCAAATAGTATTCAGGGTTGATTTCCTTTAGGATTGACTGGTTTGATCTCCTTGGTGTCCAAGGGCCTTTCGAGTGTTCTCCAGCACAATAGTTTGAAACATCAATTCTTTGGTACTCTGTCTTCTTTATGGTCTTTCACATCCGTACATGACTACTGGAAAGACTGTGGCCCTGACTATACAGACTTTTGTTGGCAAACTAATGTCTTTGCTTTTTAATATACTGTCTAGGTTTGTCATAGCTTTCCTTCTAAGAAGCAGTTGTCTTCTAATTCCGTGGCTGCGGTCAACCTCCGCAGTAATTTTAGAGCCCAACAAGAGGAAATCTGTCACTGCTTCCACCTTCTCCTCTTTTGATTCTTGACCCACATACAGGTTTCTCAGGAGACAGGCAAGATGGCCTGGTATTCCCATCTCTTTAAGAGTTTTCCACAGTTTGTTATAATCCACACAATCACAGGCTTTATAGCATAATCAATGAAACAGAAGTAGATGGTTTTTTTCTGGAATTCCTTTGCTTTTTCTATGATCCAGCGAATGTTGGCAATTTGATCTCTGGTTCCTCTTCCATTTCTGAACCCAGTGTCTACATTGGGAAGTTCTGGGTTTACATATTGCTGAAGCCTAGCTTGAAGGATTTTGAGCATAATTTTACTAGCATGGGAAGTGAGCACAATTGTCTGGTAGTTTGAACATTTTCAGTACTGTCCTTCTTGAGAATCAGGATGAAGATTGACCTTTTCCATTCCTATGGCCACTGCTGGGTTTTCCAAATTTGCTGACATATTGAGTGCAGCACTTTAATACCATGGTCTTTTAGGATTTTAAATAGCCCTGCTAGAACTCCGTCACCTCCACTAGCTTTATTGGCAGCAGTGCTTTCCAAAGCCCATTTGACTTCACACTCCAGGAACTCTAGGTGAGTTCCTACACCATCTTGATTATCCAGTTTTGTATAGTTCTGTGTATTCTTGCCATCTCTTCTTGATCTCTTCTGCTTCTATTAGATCTTTGTACCATTTCTGTCCTTTATTTAGCCCACCTTTGCATGCAATGTTCCTTTGATATCGCCAATTTTCTTGAAGAGATCTGTAATCTTCCGCCTTCTGTTGTTTTCCTCTATTTCTTTGCACTGTTTACTGAAGAAGGGCACCTTATCTCCTTGCTTTTCTCTGGAACTCTGGATTCATTTGGATATACCTTTTCCTTTCTCACTTGCTTTCCGCTTCTTTCCTCAACTATTTGTAAAGCTTCCTCAGACTACCACTTTACTTCTTGCATTTCTTTTTCTTTGGGATGATTTCCCTGACTGGCCTAGTGCCTAGTAGTTTTCTCTGCTTTCTTTAGTTTAAAACTGAATTTTGCTAGAAGAAGTTCATGATCTGAGCCACAGTCAGCCCAAGGTCTTGTTTTTCTGACTGTATAGAGCTTCTTCATCTTCAGCTGCAAAGAATGTAATCAGTCTGATTTTGGTATTGACCATCTGGTGATGTCCACGCGTAGACTCATCTCTTGTGTTGTTGAAAAAGGGTGTTTGCTATCACCAGTGTGTTCTCTGGCAGAATTCTGTTAGCCTGTGCCCTGCTTCATTTTGTACTCCAAGACAAACTTGCATGTTACTCCAGGAATCTCTTGACTTCTACTTTAGCATTCCAATCCCCTATGACGAATAGGATGCCAGCTTTTGGTGGTAGTTCTAGGATGTCTTGTAGGTCTTCATAGACCTGATCAGCTTCTTTGGCATCAGTGGTTGGGGCATAGACTTGGATTACTGTGATGTTGAATTATTTGCCTTGGAAATGAGCTGAAATCATTGTCATTTTTGAGTTTGCACCCAATACTGCATTTCAGACTCTTTTGTTGATTATGAGGGCTACCCCATTTCTTCTTTGGGATTCTTGCCCACAGCAGTAGATAATAATGGTTATCTGAATTAAATTTGCCCATTCCCATCCATTTTAGTTCACTTATTCCTAAGATGTTGATGTTTACTCTATTGCCATCTCCCCATCTCCTTGTCCACGTCCAATTTACCTTGATTCGTGGACCTAACATTCTAGATTCCTATGCAATACTGTTCTTTACAACATTGCATTTTACTTTCATCACCAGACACCTCCACAACTGAGCGTCATTTCTGCTTTGGCCCAGCTGCTTCAATTTTTCCTGGAGCTATTAGTAGTTGTCTTCTGCTCTTCCCCAGTAGCATATGGACACCTTCTGACCAGGGGGACCCAACTTTTGGTGTCATATCTTTTTGCTTTTTTATACAGTTCATGGGGTGATCATGGCAAGAGTACTGGAGTGGTTTGCCATTCCCCCTCCAGTGGACCACGTTTTGTCATTATATATTATTACATTACATTATATATGAAATTTCATAGGTAAGATGAAGAAAAATCATGGTAGAGCATTCCTAAAGATAACCCCTCCCCTCCTTGGATACAGTTGGAATGGTAATGGTTGAATTTCAGGTAGGCTGAGATTATTACAGATTAAGCTTTTAAGTTGATGTTCAGGGATATATATGAGGACGAGAATTCCACTCAGTGATAGGAGTGAAAAAATGATTCTGAATATGTAATAGAGGTTAGAGTCTAGAAATCTGTGGTGGCGTCAATCTATGTAGGTTTGTGATTTTGCCCTAATGCTACTTGGAAATATAGGCGTGAAGAAAGCAGATTGCAACATTGATCTAAGGATTGGGGTTTTTTGGGGTGGCTGTTTTGGAAATTTGTGGGTAAAAGGAAATGGAGAATGTAGATGAAAGAATAGTTAAGGTAGTTCATATCCATATGTGAGGTTCAGGAAGAAAAGTTAGGTATATACTAAATAAGCTAGAAGAAGATTGAGAGGGATGTCTCCTTGAAGAGCAAAAATGAGGTCATGAAATTGGAAGACAGATAGGAAGTTGTGTTCACAGAGTAGGAGAGTTGACATATTTTTATCTAAAACAATTTCAGGTTACCAGAAGATCCTGCATGTGGGTGATTAAGTAGGATGAGTAAAGGTCCAGGAATTAAGATGCTCTGAATGTTGAGGCTGTATTCTTAATTCTCTATGTATTTTGTACTTCCCAGGAAATTGGCAGAAACTGAGATTGAGAGAAAGACTAAATCAGGTCTCAAGTCTTCAGTGAGTGAGGTAGGGATTCATAGATGATGGCAACACAGCATAGATGTAGGAAATGAATACATAATTCCCGTAGCAGCTTAAAACTTTTATTTGAGGGAGAGATTAATGGCGGTGAGAAAAAAATCTAGAAAAAGTCAACCTCTTTTGCTTGCCCAACAGAACAGTGCTTACATATCAGAGAGGGCTGACAGGGAATTGGCACCTGTACAGGGAGAAACAAATTTCATTTTGGAAATAGAGTGATAGTTCTAGAAAAAGCTTAGGCCTGGAGCTGTGGTTCCAGAAGATTAGTGGATTGTGCAGAGAGGGGTTACTAGAGGGAGTACTGAGAAAGGCTGCAATTTAAAATGTAACGATCATGGTAGGTATGATTGAGAAGGTGGCATTTGAGCAAACATTTGAAGAAGAGGGAATGAGCCATTTGACTTTTGGGGAAGTGTGCCGGGTAGAAGAGACGATTAGTGCAAAGGTTCCAAGGTGAAAGTGTGCCTTGTGTGATTAGGAATAATGAGGAGTCCCATGTGTCCCAAAACGGATTAAGCAAGAACTGTAGTAGACGGTGAAGCCAGAGTGTTAGAGTAAGAATGTGGTTAATTGAAGGTTTTTATTGGTTATTAAATTCTAGTTTATTATCAGTAATGTAGGTTTTATTGTTAAATATGTAGTTCTAGTTATTATTTAAGTTTGCCATGTTAAAATGTAGATTAGTAAAAAAAAAAGTAACACTAAGAGTTTGAGTCTTAAAATTTATTATCAGTCATTTTGTTTGAGGAATAACTTTTAAGTTCTCTATCCTTAAGGCAGTAGTTTTTGATTCTTTACAGAATGATTTGGAACAAGTACTACGTCAAATTGGTGATAAGGACCAAAAGATCCAGAACCTTGAAGCCTTATTACAGAAGAGCAAAGAAAATATTTCTTTACTAGAAAAGGAGAGAGAAGATCTTTATGCAAAAATTCAGGCTGGTGAGGGAGAGACTGCTGTTCTTAACCAATTACAAGAAAAAAACCATACATTACAAGAACAAGTAAGCTTGCAAGTGTATTCTGTTTCTAAAATTTACTTTTATCTCTCTAAATCTTACTAAGTGCTTTATCTAAATAATTCTTCTGCTGTTTTTAGTACTTTTAAATTTATTTTGTGTTTCTGACAAATACTTCATTTACCTCAGAGGTGGGTTGCTATTGTAGTGAAAGTAAATTAACATGATTTGATGAAAGAATTCTGAGTTCATGTCCCAGGATGTGATTTATTACCTGTGTGACCATGAGCAAATCATTTCACTTTGTTGGCTCATTTGAAAAGTATAGTTAGCTCATATTGAAAAGTTATTAATAATACATTCTTATCTCATGGCATTTTGTGATGTTTTGGAAAAAAGTGAGTAACAAAATATAAACTGAACTACTAATCAATGTTAGTTGTTACTGTGTATTGGTTAATATCTAGGCTTAGTGGTTACCTGTATTTTAATGACGTATGTTTTTGGAATACATAGCTGTTAATAATTTTGGTAACTAGTTGCCTTATTCTAACATTTGTATGTTAGTTTAAATGAAGCTTATAAAACTTAGCTTAATACATTTTCAGACTGTAAAGAATAGTAGCTTACCAAATAGCCACTTTTTTGGGAAGAATTGTCCAATAAGGGAATTGTAATTAATGAGAAAGTATTAAAGAATAAGTCATTTCAGTTTTCTAATTTGAGTATTAGAATATAACACAATTTTTTTCCCACAGATTTCAAAGTTAGCCTTAGTTACCAGTTTAGACTAGTTTTTGGTTGAAAGTTGCATACAGATTAACTTTGCTTATTATACAAAAATGATCAGAAAAGTATACACAATTTTGAAGAAAGAATAAATAAAAGTAAGTTTATGTACTTCTGCTTCTGGCCATGTTGGAGTAACTGATACCTCTTTAGTACTCCCACTATAAACAACTGGAAAAAACTGTGTAAAACTAGTTTTCAGACATTGTACAACAAATGCACAGGGTTTTCATCCCTGAGAGAAGAGACGTAAGCAAAGTGAGGCTTTTGAGCATTCCAGCTTTTGACCTGGAGACATTTTTCAGACTGGTGCAAGGTGAGGGAATCCAAGGAAAGCACAGTGGTCTCTGAACTAAAGCATGCGAGGTTTGAAATTCAGGGAGATTGAACTCAAATTTGCAGACAGAATGTCAGAGACGAGGGAACAATGTAGAGAAAAAGGTCCAGAAATCTGGGTAGGGATTTGTTTGAACCTTTAGCTGAATGCTAACCTTTACACTCTTAAGGATGAGATTCCATGAGGCCAGACAATGACCAGTTGTTAGGAGCTGCAACTGAAAAATGATCAGAACTCAGAAAGCTTGGAAACAGTCAGAGAAGACAGACACTTGGGGGCATTCAGTAGAAACCCCAGTAATGTCACATCTTAGAATTAAATCTGAATTAGCCCTAGAGTAAAAACTAGTATACATAAGCGTGGGAATGAGCCTGAAAAGGATCCAGGTGAACCACAAGTATATTAACTGCTTACTGGAGCAAAATTCAATATTCTTTGAAAGAAGACAACAAATTTCAGACTTGTCATAACAAATAAAAAAAAATTAGTAGATAACACAGAGTGGAAAACATATGAGCTATAAGTAAGAGAAAAGTGCTTCAGTGGAATAAAACCTGAAAGAAGAGAGGATAGAGTCATCATGTAAGTACTTTAACACAGCTTTTAAAATATATGGATTTAAAGACAAAACTATAATAATGGAAATAGAAGTGGAAACAAAAAATAGAACTTTTAGAGGTTAAAAAAATACCTAAAATGAAAATTTCACTGAATGAATATATTAAGTGGAAAAAACAGTATCAGTGACCATTAAGACAACGTAATTGAAACTGTCCACAATGAAGCCCAGAGAGACAAAAGATTGGAGTGAAAAAATGAAGACTGCCTTAGTGACCTTTAGGATAGCAACATGTAGTCTAGGATATATGTATGTTTGTGTGTGTATGGTGTATACATATGTTTGTGTGTGTGTATATATATATATAATTTGTGTCAAAGAAAAATGTTTATAGAAATAATGACTGAAAAATTGTAAAGTTGATTAAAAATATGAAAGCACAGATTCGAGAAACTCCTGAATTCCATCCAGAGTACCCCAAAGAAACATCAGATGAGTTGGATTTCACCTAAATTAAAAACAGATGCTCTTCAAAAGACACCATTACAAAAATAAAAGCTAAGACACAGACTGGCAGAAAATAGATGTAGGACATACATCTGACAATTGAGAAACATCCAGAATATATAAAGAACTCTTAATAGTCAGCTCAGTGATTGTCTGGGGTGAGATGAGTGGAGGGTATTGAGTGCATGAAGAAGCTTTTGGGGTAATCAGAAGGTTTTCTTGTTTGTTTGTGGTGATGGTTAAATGAATGTGCATATTGATTAATCCTCAAACTGTATAATTGAATTGCGTAAATTGTATTTAAATTATAATTCAGTAGAGTCGGTTTTAAAAATGGTAAGAATCTCTGAATCTGATATTGTTTCTTATGATTCTCAGAGGTTATATTTACTTATTTTTGGAAAAATGTGAATAATTTTTCTTGAAAAAAAAAGTTGAGATAATCTTATCTTAGGGTAGTTTAACATTCTTATGGTGTTTACATTTGGGTTTCTTCATTCTTGTTATATCATTTGTGGCCTTCATAATTAGATCCTTGCTTATATGATAGGTAACTCACCTAACAGAGAAGCTGAAGAATCAGTCAGAAAGCCATAAACAAGCCCAGGAGAATTTGCATGACCAGGTGCAGGAGCAGAAGGCACATCTTAGAGCTGCACAAGACCGTGTCCTTTCCCTGGAAGCCAGCATCAGTGAATTAAATAGTCAGTTAAATGAAAGCAAGGAGAAGGTTTCCCAGCTTGATATACAGGTAATATCGCATTGTGCAACTTGTTTGTGTGAATAAAACACCAGTTTTAAGCTATCACATTTAAATTATTTTTCTCTCTTCCTCTCCATCCCCTGCCTTACTTATTAATTGAAAAAATAGAAATAGGAATTAGAGTTGTATGTGGACAGTTTGTTAAGCTTTTCTGTTTGCCTTTCTCCCTACCAGAGATTTTTACTTTTCTCTTTTTCCATGAGGCCCTTACTACTGTTTTTGAAGTTCAAAGTGGTTTGTTATTATACCGTTAGATTTCTGTTACAGATGTTCGAGTTTATTTTGAATTTGATGTTTTAATTTTACTTTAAATGTTCGATTTAAAAAAAAAAACAACAACAAAAACCACCCCAAACTTTAGGGGATTCCCTGGTGGTCCAGTGATTAGGACTTGGCGCTTTCACCATTGAGAGCCCAGATTCAGTCCCTGGTTGGGAAACTAAGATCCCTCAAGCTACATGTGCAGCCAAAAAGTAACTTTATATAGTACAGTTATGTATTTTAATATGTTTTCCTTCAGAGGCCAATATGGAAGGTTTGCTGAGTGAGTCATTCACGGGGTGGGGATTAAGATATATTTCTTTCTCCATTCTCATCATTGTTTTTTTATTCTATACTACAGTAGAGAAAGTTTTAGAAACATTTCTAAGCCTTAGTTTTATTTTAGGAGAATAATTCCATTAAAATCAGAAATAATAACAAGTATACTATTAGAATTTGGGAAAAAGAGGATACACCTTTCTTTTTAAAATTTATTAGATGAGTTACAGATAATTCAATATGTAGATGTCCAATTTAAAAGAGAAAGGTGTGCTTTGGTGTTCTATAGGGACTTTTTTTTAAAATCATTTATTAAAACATTATTAGGAGTATTCTCCCCTATTCACTCCTGTTTGGGGGATTATCACATACTTATTTTTTAATGTCTAAATCTTTGTTTTCTGCTGCAAGATTTAATTTTTAAAATTAATGAGAAAAGTATTGTACACTCATCAAGCGGAAACCAAGAACTAAATACAAATTAAATGAGTTGTAAATTTTGTTACAGGTTAAAGCCAAAACTGAATTATTACTATCAGCAGAAGCAGCAAAAACTGCTCAAAGAGCAGATCTTCAGAATCATCTGGACACAGCCCAAAATGCATTACAAGATAAACAGCAGGTAGGAGAACTTGATGCAGTTTCCTATCATAACCTGATGTTTTGGTAGATAGATTAACTGGGAAAATATGTGAAAATGATACTTTGATATAATATTGTGATTGACTTGCTTATTCTCCTTAATTTCTCCTTGAGTTCAGAACTGGTGAGTGGAATATGCAGGAATTAGCCAGATGGAGACAAAATATAACCTTTGGGAGTTGCCTGGCAGTCAGCGGTTAAGACTTGCTGCTTCTGCTGTGGTGGCCCGGGTTCAGTCCCTGGTCGGGGACTAATAATCCTGCAAACTGTGAGGTGCAGCCGAAAAAAGAAAAGTGTATCATTTATGCTCTTGATAAAGTTCAACTTGTGCAGTTGTGGTTGAGCTTCTTAATACTGTTGTTCTCCCATAATAGAGACCTTGGTGTGGTGAAATATTTACTCCTAATTTTTGAATTGCTTCTTCATCCTATTAAGTGGCAATGACTGGGAAAGACAGACAGACTTGCACACCTGTTTTAAGTGGACAGTCAGGCGGTGACCCAGGTATACTTACCTCTTGGCAGGAAAAGAGCAGCATGCATTCCATCTCAATAATAAAAGTTACCACTCTCTTTTCCTGGGGGTAGGAGTAAAAGTGGGGCTAGAAAGAATACCAAAGTTACTCTTCTCAACACTTCTGATAGAATAAAAGCTTCCTACTTCAGGGCCAAGGTTAAACTGTTGGTAGATTTTTCTTACCTTTGACCAGGTAGGAATTTTTAAAATTTACTTTTTACTTGAGAAGCAATATGGTTGTTGATCCAAAAAGGTTTATTAATAATGTAGTAGTATATATCAAGTTAATAAAACCTTTCTCTATATTTACCTTTAACTGCAATCCATTTTCCTCCTTATATGGAAATTTTGCTTTTAGGTTTGGTATATTTCCTTCCAGACGTCTGTAATCATTGAAGAAAAAATATGTGTGTGTGTGTACATACAGGTCTTTTGTTTTATACACATGGTTTCACTATGTATGTTGTTCTACAACTTGCTTTTTACCTTACATTATTGCTAAACACATCTATAAAGTATTTTCTAAGTACTAAATCAGTGCCAGAAAGTATAATGGAAAAAGTATTTATATGAATAAGCACATAAAAGTTGAAATTTTTATTTTCCCAAAATATTACTAGCAAAATTCTAAAGCAAGTAGCGAAAGAATAGAAGATTTCCTGAAGTATGTCTGATGAAAGATTGATATTTTTGTTTAAAACATTTTTACATAAGAAATAAATGAATCTACTAAAAGAAGTAAAAGATCAAAACTATATTAGGAAATCTTCATATTCATTAAGAATTAATTGCAAATTAAGACAGTAATATGCCCTTATTAAGGTAAAATGTTTGTGTGCATATGTTTAACACTGGAAAGGCTAGACATGGTATAGAAGAATAAGTCACTTCCACACGTTGTTTGCAGTTCAACCTTTTGATGGTAACAGGGAAAGCTGGTTGGCAATATATTTAAGACCTTTAAGATTTTTCATATTCTTAATCTCTCTTTTAGTCCTTTACCCTAGGGAGATAATCATAGTTTTAAGGATGGTGTTTGTATATCTGTTGGAAAGGTTTATAGCAATTTAAGAATACAACATAGGGCCTTTGGCTAAATAATGATCTATATGAATAAAGTAAAAATTTATGCAGTCATGTGTAATGATAGTTTAGAAGATAATGTCACAGTTTTATGATGCTTTGTTATAAAAACAAAGGAAGTTACAGCAAAACTGTATGTAAACTGACATGCTTGATCTGAAAAGTAGAAATAAAGAAATAGAAACTAACATACAGAAAAGTCTAGAAGGAAGGTTATCAAAACATTAATAGTATCTATGGGCAGTGGATTTCCTAATAATCTTTATTTTTTTTGTTCTGCAGTTAGATATTCCAAATCATTGAACAAGTATTATAATCAATGTAATTAAAAATATTTTTTAAAATGGTATCTTGAACATTGAAAATATTTAATTATAGGATAAAAGTGTTACTTTGTTATTAGCCTACCTAATATCCTGTTGTATCTTTTGGCTTCTAAAATAACTCTTCCTAGAAAAAGTTATTGAGCTGTTAGGTGTATAAACGTAGTATCTCAGCGTGTGTACAACTTCAGTTCAGGTCCTTTATGTTGATGGGTAAATATAATCTCATATATATTATTAGGCTAATCTATGGTCTTCTCAAAATACTTTCTTAGAGTTTTCTGCTTTATTTTGAGCAAACATTTGGGCACTACAGCAAAGTAAACCTCACCAAAGTTGTCTTTAATTATACTTTCTATAGGAGTTAAATAAGATCACTACTCAGTTGGATCAGGTCACTACAAAGTTGCAGGACAAGCAAGAACACTGCAGTCAGCTGGAAAGTCATCTTAAAGAATATAAAGAGAAACATCTGTCTTTAGAACAGAAAACTGAAGAATTAGAAGGTCAAATCAAGGTTTGTATAAAAAACTAGCCATATTTTCTATTGCTATAACAATGGTAGTTGATGACCTAGAAGGAATCCAAGATTTAAAATTTGCAAGTCAAGGTCAAGTTGTGATATAAAAATTATTTGTAATTTTTCATGTCTTAATTTTGAATTCCACTTTTAATTTCTTCACCAATGGATGGCTTTACAAAAAGCAGTTAACATATATACTGGTTCCATTGTAAAGTGTAAATGTTTCAGAGAGAGAGTCGACTAGGTATCGACTCTGTAATTACAGGGAACTTATTTTTGTTGCTGTGAAGTCTCTTCTACCTCATCATTCCTATCTCCTTCCCTCCTTATTCCAATATAATACTCAGTTATGGTATATTTCTTCTGTTTTACACTTATACCCTTTGGATTTTATTTCTGATTAATATTATTTAAAATTTTCACTGTGGTAAACTTTTTCTTTAACTCAACTTCAAGTGAAAGTGTTTATTTATATTAAAGAAATTAAATAACTACATATATTAGAGAAGGATTTTACCTGAGTCCTTTGCTCTTTGAATTAGAGCTACTATAAGTAGAACAAATTTCTCAAGTTACTATATGTGAAATTTACACCGTCACAGTCAGATGAAGCACTTCTGTACAATTGTAGAATCATGGGCTGTGTGTATGTATAGATGTGCATAGAAGAAGAAAATTACATTTACAGTTCTATTTATGGGTTCCTTTCTCTTTATGGTCAGTAATAATAGTATGACAGATTATGTGGTGTAATGGTTGAAAAGAACAGAAAAAATTTTTTTTTTGTCTATTTGTTTTTAGTTGAAGGGCATGTAACAAGAATTCTATTTGAGTATCTTTTTGTTGTTGTTGTTTAGTCACTAAGTCGTGTCCAACTCTCTGTGATACCAGGGGCTGCAACATGCCAGGCTCCTCTGTCCTTCACTGTCTCCTGGAGTTAGCACAAATTCATATCCGATGCTATCTATCCATCTCATCCTCTGTCGCCCCTTCTCCTTTTGCCTTCAGTCTTTCCCAGCATCAGAGTCTTTTCCAGTGAGTTGGCTTTACACATCAGGTGGCTAAAGTTGGAACGTCAGCATCAGTCCTTCCAGTGAATATTCAGGGTTGATTTATTTTAGGATTGACTGGTTTGATCTCTTTGCGATCCAAGGGACTCTCAAGAGTCTTCTCCAGCACAATTCGAAAGCATCAATTCTTCAGCACTCAGCCTTCTTCATCGTCCAACTTTTCATATACATACGTGACTACTGGAAAAACCATAGCTTTGACTATATGGACCTTTGTCAGCAAAGTGATGTCTCTGCCTTTTACACTTGTCTAGGTTTGTATAGCTTTCCTTCCAAGGAGTAAGCATCTTTGAATTTCATGGCTGCAGTCATTGTCTGCAGTGATTTTGGAGCCCAAGAAAATAAAATCTATCACTGCTTCCATTTTCCCCCCTTCTATTTGCCATGAAGTGATGGAACTAGATGCCATGATCTTGGTTTTTTGAATGTTGTCTTAAGCCAGCTTTTTCACTCTCCTCTTTGACTTCATCAAGAGGCTCTTCAGTTCCTCTTCACTTTCTGCCATTAGAGTGGTATTATCTGCATATCTGAGGTTGTTGATATTTCTTTTGGCAATCTTGATTCCACCTTGTGATGCATCCATCCTGGCATTTTTTATGATGTACTCTCCATATACGTTAAGAAACAGGGTGACAGTATACAGCCTTGTATACTCCTTTCCCAATATTGAACCATCAGTTGTTCCACGTAAGGTTCTTACTGTTGCTTCTTGACATACAGGTTTCTCTGGAGATAGGTTAGATGGTCTGGTATTCCCATCTCTCTAAGAATTTTCCACAGTTGTGGTCCACACAAAGTCTTTAGCATAGTCAATGAAGCAGTAGTAGATGTTTTTCTGGAACTCCACCCTTGCTTTCTCTAAGATCCAACAAATGTTGGCAATTTGATGTCTGGTTCCTTTGCCTTTTCTAAACCCAGGTTGAATATCTGGAAGTTCTTGTTTCATGAACTGCTGAAGCCTAGCTTGAAGGATTTTGAGTATAACCTTCCTAGCATGTGAATGAGCATGATTGTATGGCAGTTTGAACATTCTTTGGCATTGCCCTTCTTTGGGATTGGAATGAACTGACCATTTCCAGTCCTGGACCTTTGGACCTATGGATTACAGACCTTTGTGGGCAAAGTGATGTCTCTGCTTTTTAATATGGTTTCTAGGTTTGTCATAGCTTTCTTTCTAAGGAGCAAGCATCTTTGAATTTCGTCTCTGCAGTCACTGTCCATAGTGATTTTGGAGCTTAGGAAAATAACATCTGTCTCTGCTTCCACTTTTTCCTGTTCTGTTTGCATGAAATGATTGTGATTGGATGCCATGATCTTTTGTTTTTTGAATGTTGAGTTTTAAGCCAGCTTTTCACTCTTCTCTTTTACCTTCATCAAGAGGCTATTTAGTTCCTCTTCACTTTCTGCCATTAGAGTGATAACCATCTGCATATCTGAGGTTGTTGATATTTCTCCCGGCAGTCTTGATAGCAGCTTGTGATTCATCCAGCCCAGCATTTCGTATGACATATTCTGCAAATAAGTTAAATAAACAGAGTGACAATATACAACCTGTGGTACTCCTTTCCCAGTTATAGTTATTAAGAAAATGCATTGCTTATAGATGTTCAAACTATATATTCAACAATTTGATTTTGTAAATTTGTAAAAATACAGTTATATGTATGTATATGAGATAGAAGTCACACTGTAAAGAATAATAATCTCTAAATGAAGAGAATATAGATGCCAAATCCAAATTTAATTGGCTTCATATTTGTGGTCAAGAGGTATTAATGAGAAGGATGACATGACAACTCCATTTTAGTTTTGAATATTTATGTCAGTGTTGTTAACTGAATATAACAGATTATAAATTTTAATTGGGCCCTTTGTTTTTCATACATGAGTTAATAACTTTTATTCAAGTAATAAATATAATTATTTTAAGTTTACTCTCTTATTCAGTTCATTTTAAAAGTTAAAACTTAGTGACTATCTCTCATACGTAGTCTGCTGCTAGATCTTCTGAAAGATTTCAAGGTAAATGGCTCCTTTATTCAATAATGAGTTTAGAATATGTTTTTTGTTATTAACACAAGTATTTTTGTGTGTTAGCATCAGTTTGAGTATAAACTAATGTAGTAATGTTTAGTAGATAATTGTTGACACTAGATGGTTTTATATCATATTTCTGCCACAGAAACTAGCAGCTGATCTGCTTGACGTTAGAGCCAGCAAGGAGCAAGCCCTGCAGGATCTGCAGCAACAGAGGCGGACGAGCGCGGATTTAGAGCTTCGAGCCACAGAACTGAGCAAACAACTCGAAAGGGAGAAAGAAATGTAAGCTAAACTACTTATGGGAGAGGACAGTAAACAAAGTATTAAGTTTTTCATAAGATTTCAGTTTTTCTATCACAGTGCTTAAAGATTTACCTTGTAAACTGCTGATATTAATGTGAATGAAAAATAAAGCCATCACAATTTGGTTAAATAGGATGGCTTGTATCCAGTCACATTTCAGTAGACTTTGTCTTTAAAGGCCAAATATGGAGTTGACAGATTGGATCTTTGTCAAGAGGGTGAGGGTTTTTGGCTGCCAGTAGTAAAGATGGAAGTCGATAGCCTGGGAAAGGTGCCTTTCAGGGAAATGAGATTAAAACCCATCAAAGTTGATAATTAAGTTGTTTTGCACTTTATGGTTTCATCCTTATTTTGGGAGTGATGACAAACATTTTTGTTTTCATGTCTAGTAAATTGGGTCCTGATGTTGGGAATGTGAGGATATACAGATGCATTTTGTGGCTCAAATGGCATTTCTTGTCACTCAACATTGTAGTTTCCAGTGCCTAGGTATTTGGGGAGTATATCTGATCTTTTTTTTTTTTGATAATTTTATTTTATTCATTTATTTTGGCTCTGTTGGTGTTCACTGCTGCACGGGCTTTCTCTCGCTGTGGCGAGCGGGAGTTCCTCTCTAGTTGCAGTACTCGAGCTCCTTGTTGCCGGCTTGTCTTGTTGCGGAGCATGCACGGTAGCCTGCACGCAGCTTCGTTAGTTGTGGTTGCAGCTCCTGGGCTCTAGAGCACAGGCTCAGTCAACATTTGTGGCGCACGGGCTTAGTTGCTCAGCAGCATGTGGGATCTTCCCAAATCAAAAATCGAGCAGGCAGATTCTTTTCCCACTGAGCTATCAGGGATGCCCACCTGAGCCTTTGTATCACCTACCCAGTGATTCGTCACCTCTGGAACCAGTCATGTGACTGTGAAGATGACCTTTGAGGTGGTACTTGTTCTCTTTTCTGAGGCCCCTATGGACCCAGTACTTCTTTCCAGTGGAAACTTCCCATTTCTAGTAAGGTTTTTTTTTAAAATTTTTGCCTTTATATTTAATGCAGACATCTTTTATATGGGGTCCTGCATTTTTAGAGTACTAAGAAAGGAGGACTGGGCAAATACATCTGAGGTTTGACTAAACCCCACTCCTGGTCACAGGACTCAGCCCACATAATGGGGCCCAGGGCTCCCCTTTCTCAAGGACACTGCACGCAGCTCTTTCCCTCCACTTTCCATCTTCTATTTTCATTACTCTGCAGTTTGTGTTTTCAAATATCCTTTGTGATTTTTTTTCTTTGCTCTGTGGGTTACTTAGATGCATATTGTTTACTTTTCAACTATTCAGGGTTTCTCTAGATGTCTTACTGTTGCTGGTTTCTCATTTAATCTCATTGTGGTTATAGAACATACTCAGTAAAACTCGGACACTTCAAACTCTTATTCAGGGCACAGGGTCTGGTTTATCTTGGTTGAGTTTCCTTGTGCGCACCTGTGTTTGGTTGGGTAAAGTGTTCTGTAAATATCAGTTCGCTTAAAGTAGTTGATATTGTTGTTCTAATCCTCTGTATCGTTGCCATTGTTTTCTCTGGTCATTTCTATCAGTTTCTGAGAAAGGGCTGTTAAGGTTTCTCAGGTTGTGGATTGATTTATTACTTCCTTTAGTGATGTTTAAAAAAAATAAACTAAGTTTTACCATCACTGTGCAAACCTTTATTTCTTTATGCCTTCTTTGATTCACATAGTCCTATGATTTTATAATAATTATTTAAAGGAATGTTAAGTAGCATAGTAAATATATCAAGTTCCAATTTTAGGGTTGCTTGACAGGGATTTTAACTATATTAAAATGATCAAGTAATATTCATACAACAGCCTTTCTGTCTAGCCCTTTAAATATCAGTGAGGTACAGGATCCTGTGAATGTACTTCATATGTTTTAGCTACTTTTTTTGAAAGTAAAAGGTTCTGGGGCTAAAAGTTAGAAAATTTCAAGGTATATATGCAGTTCTGATATTAATACCCAACTTCAGTTATGTGGCTGGTACATCATTTAATAACCTTTCCTTAATATATTGAATTTATAATAAAGTACATTGGAAATAGTATGCATTCTAGAAATATTACTTTAACCTGGTTTTATTTTCATTTTAAAAAATGGTTAATCTCTAATGTGTCCTTTTCTTTTGCTATGTAATATGCATAATTTTATTCATTTTATGAAAACAAAGTCTTTAACTTTCTTAAGCAATATCTTCATTTCTTCATTTTTTTTTGAGTTTCTTTAAAACTTTTTATTTTATATTGGGGTATAGCTGATTAACAAAAAAATGTTGTGATAGTTTCAAGTGAACAGCAAGGGTACTCAGCTATACATATACATGTATCCATTCCCCCATTTCCTCATTCTTACAACTTTTCTGTTTTATAAAAAATTGAAGTATAATTGATTTATAGTATAATGTTAGCTTTGGGTTCTTGAAACTTCTTAATTCATTCAGGTGTAGAAAATTTATGTTAGAGGACAAATGATAAGTCTCTTAACATAATCTACTAGGTTCTAGGATTAAAATAAATCTTTTGTCTTTTCTCCATGTTTGTTTAAACTTGTTATCATTTGTTCTCTAACATAATTTTTCTACACCTGAATGAATTAAGAAATTTTAAGAATCTGAAACTAACATGATGCTATAAATCAACTATACTTCAGTTTTTTAAAAGACGGAGAAGTTGAGGAAATGGGTTGGAATGATTTTCCTGATGGAGCTTCCCTGGTGGCTCAGATGGTAAAAGAATCCGCCTGCAGTGCAGGAGACCTGAATCCGATCCCTGGGTCAGGAAGATCCCCTGGAGAAGAAAATGGCCACCTATTCCAGAATTCTTGTCTGGCAAATCCTATGGACAGAGGAGCCTGGCAGGCTGCAGTCCATGGGGTTGCAAGGACTCCCAGACAGGACTGAATGACTAACACTTTCACTTTCATTCTTCCTGGTTATCTTATGTGTTTTGAAGTTTAGGACCTGTCAAATACACAATGTGTTTTATTTTTTCAAGTAAAGAGGCAAATTTCTTTGTCCTTGGGGGCAACATAATAAATCGGTTCTTTAGGATACATGGAACAGTATTTCTGGTTGTCAAAGACGAGATGGTTTGCTGCATGCCCAGATTTCTTTGGGGATACACTGTGGTTAGACAAGACTGGATTAAATCATGGGCTTAGATGGTCTTGGCTTTACCACTAATTTATTTGACTTGAAGAAAACCATCCTCATCTCTTAAATGACCAAATCAGATGTTCTAAGGCATTTTTTGTTTGTGTGGCTTTATGACATTAAATTATTAGTTTTACTTTTTAACTACAGAAGAAAGTTTTAAAACTCAATTTATTAATGTGAATTGTAGATTAGAAATGATAAATTATACATTATTAAAGAAATTGTTTCTTAAATATTTAGAGTATCTAATACAAAGTTGGATCTACAGAAGAAATCTGAAGTGCTTGAAAATACTAAGCAAATGCTTATCAAGCAAGAAGAAGAAAAAACAATCCTTAAACAAGAAATTGAAAATCTAAGTCAAGATGCAAAGATGCAGCAAAAGGAACTGAATGACAAGATTCAAACAGCAGTAACAGAACTACAAAAAGTGAAGATGGAGAAAGAATCTCTAGTAGCAGAGCTTTCTGCGGCAAAAGAGAAATTATCAAAAGTTTCTGATTCTTTGAAGAACTCCAAAAGTGAATTTGAAAAAGAAAATCAGAAGGGAAAAGCTGTTATATTAGATTTGGTTAGTAGTTTATGTTTATTTTCTTAGGTAGAAATGATTTTTATTTAAAACTTATTGACTTTTCTGCTTAATTCATTGTTGACTTGTCATCCTGCATTTAAATGATCCTAACTGTTGTTATGAGAAAAGGAATGGAGATTACTTAACCGATCAGAAAGATCTTAATGACTTCTAACTCTGGTGCTATAAACTTTCTGATTCTTTCTTCAATTTTCTAAAACTCTAGATAATACCATGTCTTAGAGCTATTGTAAACAATATTTAAACTAGAGAAAAACACCTGAGTCTCAGGAAATACTTATAGGGCAGTGTATCCTCAGAAATATTTTAACCCAGAATAACATGGAATAACAGCAAAAATAAAATTCTTGTGTTTTTAATATAAAGGTCAGTGAAAGTGTTGAACATAAAAAGCATGATTTTCAAATGTTACTTTTATCTTCTGTTTGGAAAAAATATCTGTACATCTTCCTTCTTAAGTTATATGGGATTATTTTTGTTTATTGTTTCCATACTTCAAAAAACTTCCCTCCATTTTTTTGAAGCTCATTATTCTACTCTTAAAATAGCATAAGTTAGTTAATTCTGTAACATAGAAACATGGTTTCCAAAGTATTCTAAAATCTTGTCTAAATATTATTGAAAGTATTTATTGTGACTACTGGTTCATAATAGAAACTCAGTCTCTCTCCCCATTTACTGCTATAATATTTGCCTGTTTTTATTACTGAAATGGATGATTCTATCCCATCTTAAATCATCAATGATTCTAGTTTATTTCCTTTTGTGGATCTTATTAAGCTTATGAACCTAAATTCTTAAATTTACTACAAATATTTTCTGCATAATGTAGTTTCCACTTTTTTAGGAGAACACTTGCAAAGAATTAAAGCATCAGCTTCAAGTACAGACAGAAAGCCTACATAAGGAACAGAATGAAATGAAAAAGTCACTTGAAAAAGAAAAGGAGGTAAGATATTCTATAACAGAAATATGTAAAGCATAATAAGGTTTTATAGTTTTGAAATAGTTTCACAGTAGATTATTAAGTCAAAAAGTTTATTTCCTTTGTGTTCTACCAACTGCTAAAAGGATTTAAGCCAAATTATAATCAAAGGCCCAAAATAAAGGATTATAATTAATAATAATAAATAAATTGAGTCAACTAGCTAGAGTTATTTAATTAAATTCTCAAAGTTAAGGAACATTAGTATGGATAAAAAACAGTCTTCATAGATTTTCCATAGAAATGACATTTAAGTGCTCTTTATTTTATTGACATTTATGTTAATGGAATATTTGATAATGGTTATATAACAATTAAGTGATTGTTCTGTGGTTAATGCTTCTATTGTTTTCCATCGAAACAAATGAGTAAATAAATGGATATAATATATATATTATTATTATTCTCTGAAGACATAACCCCTAGCAGCTAGAGTCTAGGCATGTAGCTTTCTAGAGATCTGATTTGATAAAGCAGCAAAACATCATCCCAACAAGTCTTCAGTGTGATTGTGTTCTGGTTGTTGATTGAAAGAAGACATCTGTGTTTTATTTACCAGTCATAGTGGCAAAATTATGGTGATTTAGTGCCCAGGCTGTGAATCCAGATTGTCCGAATTTATATCCTGACTGTGCCAATTATTAGCTATGCTGTCTTGACTTCTCTCAGGCAGATGGCTCATCTCTCTGTGCTCCAGTTTCCTCAGCGGTAAGCTGGGGCTGATAGTAGAATCTGTCATAGCATTATTGTGAGAAGTAAATGGGTTAATGCATTTCAGAGTGCTTAGAATACCAATTGTAACCAAATAAATGGTTAGGGGTTAGCTATTACTTTATCATTGGTTATCATAACAATCATCAGTATTGTTAATACTACTTGAGTCCTGTTTTGCACAAAATATTTCCCTTTGTATTGGAGATAAGCTGAAGCATCCATATATACATAGCACTGAAACTTTTCAAAAATAACTTTGGTCAAGTGCTCAAATTAGGTCTTTAATGAAATATGCATAAAACATGAAAATATGACTTTGGTTGGAAGGGTGAGATGTAGTGTAGCTCACCTTGGCCACAGAAGAACCTCAGTGTGACTTCTATATGATGATTAATTTTGAACAGAAATGTATCCTAATAAATTGTGAGAACAGGTAGTAGCAAAATATGCCTCAAATCTCTAAATGGGGACATGATTTGTGTGGTTTAGACAGATACTAAAGATGTTTGCCAAAATTATTTTGGTTTTATCATAGTTAATATGAAATTATCTTTTCTGATTCACTTTGACTAGTAGACTCAGTTAGCATTTTTAAATTTTTATTTTATTTTGCTTTTGTTGGCCCCACTGTGCTGCTTGCAGGGATCTTAGTTCCCCAACCAGGGATTGAACCCAGGCCTGGCAGCGAAAGTGCTGAGTCCTGACCACTGGACCACCAGGGAATTCAGTTAGCATTTTGAGAATATTCGAGACAGTAGACATTTCAGCAATCTAAAGATTGTTGATTTTCCCTTTTCTATGATATAAGAGAATACCAATCCTGTTCATTTGCAAGCTCTATCCCAATATATAAGTTAAAAAGGAAGGCAGGATTAAATATCGATCAGTCCACAGTCTGATCCGATAGTGAATAGTGTCAGTTAAAAGCTCCATGAGGGCAGGGATTTTTCTTTTTGGTTTACTACTGAATATTTGTGGTCAACAGACTCAGTAGTTTCTACTTAGAGTAATGCTTAATAGGTACTCAATAAATGTGTGTTGAATGGAGAAATGAATGCTGAACAGATTGTATTTTCTTTTAGACTTCTCATCAGTTGAAGTTGGAGCTCAGTTCAATGCAGGGACAAGTCATACAGGCCCAGAATAGTTTAAAACAAAAGGAAAAAGAAGAACAGCAGCTTCAGAGTAACATAAATGAGCTAAAGCAATTGACTGAGCAGAAGAAAAAGCAAATTGAAACACTCCAAGGAGAAGTTAAAATTGCTGTTTCACAGAAGGTAATGATATGATATTTGTTTACTTTTTATGGGAAGAAAAACTTTGTAGTTAAAATAACCATATGATAGTTAACACAAATGAGTTGCAACAAAGAGAATTTTACATATATGCCCAAATTTTCTTTAAGTTAAATGTATAATGTACTTAATTATCTGATTAAATATCTGTCTAGATTTCCATTCACTATAACCATGTTGTTAGACACTTATTTAAAATCTTAGCACTAATCATTTGTCTGACGGACATAAAACTTTTTGTAAAACAACATGTAACTTAACAATGTTAAGAGAATAATTTATACAACATTTTTAGTGTATTAGAAAACTTAAAGGAATTTAAAAATAAGTTATCCTTATTAAGGGAAATAACCAAGAACAAAAATCACAAAGATATTTAAATATTCAGTAGTATAGGTTTCATATAGTTTTTTGTTTTTAAGTTGTATCATAATGGTTTGTTTCCAAACCTGTGCTAATTTATTATTAAACATCTGTCCTTCATTCTTAAGTATGTTTTAATACTTGTCCAGACCAAGAGTTGATAAAAGTGGATTGAGCTTAATATTTGAACAAAAGCAGGTTTTTCCCAGTGTTGATATGTGCATATTCATCAGTGGAGAAGAGAGATATAATAGCCCTAGTATGTGAAACAAAGTATATCATGTTATTAATAGGTGGCTTGTCACATTACTGGAGGAAAAAAAAAAAACCACAAATACATAATTTATGTTGACCACTGTTTTTATGATTATTACAGCCACTTTACAAAAAAATAATTTTCTTATAACACAAATAGGAGTAGACAAATTTGTCCTTTTCTTGTGTGTGTTATCATATATAATCATACATCAGGATATAATTACCACAGTGTGTTTTTTGTTCTCTGAGTTGACATCTTGAGGTCATTTTTCTCCCAAAATCTAGCAGCCTCATATTCAAGTTTTCTTAGATCTTCATTTCTATATCATGATTTAGTAAATTAAAAAAAAAGTCAACAACTATTTTTAGTACATTTTCTTTTTAATTTAATTATTAGTTATAATATTTCTTCCAGATTTATAATTAATGTATATTGCCAGTACTGTGCATGGCTTTATTAAATGGTGGTTCAGTTGGTAAAGAATCTGCCTGCAATGTGGGAGACCTGGGTTTGATCCCCGGGTTGGGAAGATCCCCGGGAGGAGGGCATGGCAGCCCACTCTAGTATCCTGCTTGGAGAACCCCCATGGACAGAGGAGCCTGGTGGGCTGCAGTCCACGGGGTCACAAAGAGCTGGACACAACTGAGCGATTAAGCACAGCACAGCATGTTAAATAACACGCTAAGGATTTTGAGATTTAGAGGAAATGCTCTTATTGGTAGTTGTCTTGTGTGGGACTGTTATAGTGAAAATACCACAGGCTAGGTGGTTTAAATAATAAGCATTTATTTCTCACAGTTCTGGAGACTGGGAAGTTGAAGATGAAGGCACCTGGCATATTGAGTGTCTGGTGAGGGCCCACTTTCTGGCTTGTAGACAGCTGTCTTCTTGCTGTATCCTTATATGACTGAGAGATTGTATTTCTTCTTGTAAGCCCACTAATCCCATTCATGAGGGCTCTATCTTAGTGACTGCCAAAGACCCCTACATCACATTTGATCTAGGCTTCAACTTGAATTTTTGGGAGTCACAAATATTCATAGCAGTATTTACTTGTATTAGTGTATAGATGCTAGAAAAAGGAACACCGTTATAACCTGGGGAAGACAGCATTTTGGGGGAGTATTGAGTGTATAGCCAGTCTGTAGATTAGACTTGGAATTTGGAGTACCTAGAGAATCATTGAAAGGCAATAATAATTTGGTTTTATTGAGGAGTAGTGTACTTTCATGGAAAGAAGGTACATTTTAGAGCCAGGTAAATCTGAATTCAAATTCTGTGTGACACATGTCAGGTTTATGGTCACAGGAAAGGGATCCATCTTTCTGAGCTAAATAAAGTGAGGTCATGGAGTTGTGAAGACGGAGGTAATGTATTTAAAGTACCTAGTAGTGTGCCCAGTGCCATGTAGAAGCTAAATAATTGTTGGGTGTTAAATAGAAGTATAGCAGACTATGACTGAAGAGTGTCCGTGTGCATGGTAGACCATACAGTGATGGTCTATGGAAATTTTTCACTGGGCCACAGCGAAATAGGAAAAAGAATACATATACATACATTTTTTAATGCGACTGAGTCACAAAGGATTCAGCAAGGCTATAAGTCATCAGTTCCTGTACTAGGAAACCTAATATGGGAACACAGAATGAATAGGATATGGCCCCTGTTCTCAAGTAGCCTATATAATTTAATGAGGAAGCAGATACGTAAAGAAAACTGTAATAAAAAGGAGAATGAGGAAAAATTAGAACTCCGTGGGAATTTTGACTGGTTTTCTAGAGGAGCTAGCATTTGAACTGTGTCTTTGAAGATTATTATAATTTTGAAAGGTTAAAAAAGGAGGGAATTAGATATTTAAAAGGAGAGTAAACAATATTAGCCAAGTTTACAAAGCTTAAATGCTGTTATAGATTTGCTGTTGGAATACACGGTAAGTGGAGAAGTGAGGAGAGATAAGGCTGTAGAACTGGTTGGAATCATTCTCTCTGTAACCTGTTTTTGGCGTGCATACTATTTTAAGTAACTGTTGTATGTTTCAGACAGAACTTGAGAATAAACTACAGCAGCAGTCAATGCAAGCAGCACAGGAACTTGGAGCAGAGAAACAAAAAATATCAGTGTTACAAAACACCTATGAAAAAAGTCAGGAAAATCTAAAACAGCTTCAGTCTGATTTCTATGGGAAGGAATCTGAACTACTTGCCACAAGGCAGGATCTTAAGGTATAGTGAATTATGTCATAAAAACTAGTAACTTGTTTATAGACATTCATTAAAGGATTGATTTGAACCCAAATGGGCATTAGAAGTCTTAGTGTTTGTGGAATATCATGCTTGTTTTTTATTTAATTATTATTTTTAGAGAAACATGCTTTTTAAAAATTATTTTATATGATAAAATATATAGTAAATATAGGCATTTACAAATAACATCTTTAATAGTGAAATAATTTGGAAATATGCTAGTTGCTACATTAGCTTATCTAAGGACTTTGCTGCCTTTAAGAAAAAAAACTTGAACTGCTGTTAGAAAATCTGAGTTTTAAATGTAAACCACTTGTGAAAATGCAAGCAGATTTATTGTTGCTTGTCAATATTGACTTTATGTTTGTCAACTTCCCAAGACTATTGTAATGCATAATATTAGGAGATTATAGCTCAAAGTAAACTTAAATTATCTGAACATATATGGATACTTTGGCCTTGGCAATACAGTTGGATTAGATGAAGTATGATTTTTACTAAAATGAAGGATATACAAAAAGGGTAAATAATTTTTATGTAGCATTATCAGTTGTCTGAGGGAAATGGAACATTCGTATTCTCTCACAGAAGGTTTAACCAGTTCTCTCTTTTTTGCCACAGTGAAATTAGTATGCCTTTTGATTCTTTCCTGTGTCTGGATGTTTGTTTCTTTGCTTAATTTAAAATGCTTCATTGAAAAATTCCATTGAAAATCACAGAGTATTTTTATGTATAATATATAAATATACTACTTCTACACTTTACTCATAGGCTGCTATAGGGAAGGCCTTATGAAGGAGAACTTGCCCTGGCCCTGAAAGATACGAATTTGAATACAGAGCGCCTGAGAAAGATCAGTTCGCTCGGGACCAGCAAGGCCAGGAGGCAGTCACCATAGTTGGCTTGTTAGAGCGCTGGTTTGTGTTTGGAAATTAAAATTAAAAGGCCTGGGATTAAACTGTGTGGTACCTTAGATGTCTAGCAAGGGTGACTGACTGGACTTTATGTTGAGTTGGAGGTAGCAGGAAATGAAGAGTCTGAGCAGAGGAGTAAAAGGAAGAGAATATATACTTAGCCCGGAAGTGGTTTACAGATAGCTTGGTTTGGATCTGGTGTAAAGTAGTGCTGGGGGGATTAATTAAGAGGCTGTCTCCCTTTCTTCCTCCAGTAATCTAGCTGTGAGTTGATTAGAACTGGAGTTAAAGAAGATGGAACAGAAGAGATTGATTGGAGAGAGAAGATGAGACAAAAGGGCTGAATAGTATAGAGTGCAATGGAATGAAGGAATCATGGCGACTATTGATCTGACAAAGCAGCAGGGGATGGGGGAAAAGAATTCCCATAGGGCCAGACAGTAGATATTTATATGTATATATTTAAAGTTCAAAATTAGCAAGAGTTTTTTTTTTTAAATACCACCTGACATTTAGAAAGTGTCTTAACTTACTGTATTCTCTTTCTTTTTTCCCTTTACAACACTATTGAAAGTCAGGGAAGGTTGTTGAAAAGTTTGGACTTGATCCTGTCGGCAGGAGGGAATGACTGAAAGGTTTTGTTGGAATTTGTATTTTAAGCCAGTGTGGCTGAACGTGGGGATGAGAGAGGAGACTGCAGTAGTCCAAGTGCAGATGATGGTAGCTTGCGATGGTGGAGTAAGGATGGACAAATGTGAATGAATTTGGTGGACATTAGGTGATAGAGAAGTTGAAACCTAATGACCGATTTAAAAATCTTTAGAAACCTTTTTCTTCATATGGATATGTTATTTACCGAAGAGCACAACATAATAACAAGACTTAGATCTTTCAGATCAGTATTTTTTCATTAAGCCAACAATTATTTTTATTATGCCTGAAAGCTATAAAATCATGTTCTAATTTTATACATGAAAGAAAAATTCAAATGTAAACATGGGTAAGAGAAAGACAGGGATAAGGCTGCTGTGGAGTTTAATGACTGTTGAGAGGCTGTGGATAGACACTGTCTACCAAAGCTTGCTTTTGTGGATGACACTGAGGCCCCCCTTGGTTGGTGACAGGCCTAGTGTTTGCACAGTAACAGAACCATGACTGGATCTCAGCTCTTCTGATTTATAGACCTTTATTCTTTTACCATCATTTCACTAGATTTTTTTTCATAAGATAGGATGTTGACAGATTCTACGCTAATCCTTTCAAAATGACATCTGAACTATTTAAAAAAAAAATCCTCAGAAAGTTTATAGGCCAAAATAAGGGATCAGCCATTCTTTTTCTTTTGCTTCAGTGACTATTAAATAATCTTGTGTAAAAGAGAGAAAGGCAGAGGTTCAGAACCTTGTAACATGACACCGAATCAAGACTGCCATCTGTGGGCTGATGGTGTTACCAAGACGCCAGTAGAATGGAAGCTGAGCGGCTTGATCTGTGCCTTTAGCCCCATCTGCTGGATTACTTATGAAGCACCAAAGTTTGTTGATTGGATATTTTAAACTGGCTATGCTGGGTGCTATTCTTTGATGTCCAGGAAAGGTAGAAGTGGAATTTAAAATTTGCACCCTCAGTGAAGTGAAAACTCTAGGATAAAAAGTTTACAATTAGGTATAAATCTTCTTAGCATAGTACTGTTCCTTGTGTCGTTTCACCCAGGCATTAAGAAAACGTAATAACTGAAAATTTTAGAGGTTTATGTTGAAAGAAAAAAGGGGAAAATTGTTTAACAGACCAAAAAAACAACAGCTACCATGGAACAGTGCAGAAAATGTTTTGTTTGCTAGACTAGTACAATGTGATTGGGGTATTCAGGATCAGGGTGGTGCTTGATCTGTTCAAGGATTTGCTTATTCCAGTGGCAGTGGGTGAGTTAAAGATAACCCCAGTAAACCATCAAATGGGAGAGGGAGTTCTCCAAGGGAAAAGATGCTAAGCAGATGAAAATAGTGCAGGATGCAGCAGAAAAGGTAAAAGGAGTGATCTGAAATGGCAGTATACTGCTGAATGTCATAGATGAATATCCAGAGGCAAGCAGAACAGTATGTCTTGGCTCAGAAAAGAGTAGTGCAGATTTTTAGCTTGACTTTAAAGATTTAGTCATTAGGATTCTGTGAGTTCAAAATTTTATAGGCTGTTATTTAGAACATGGGCATTTTGGAGTTCTTGTCCTTTTAGGCTCCAGCAAGAAGTGGTATTTTTTAGCACTAGATCAGGACCTTTGTTACCTAATTACAGTTGTGTACACGTTATTGGCTAGGCTTTGACAGATTTTATTTTTTCCTCTGAAAACAGTCTTACACGTTGTGATACTTAAATCAGTTCCCACATGCCCGTGGAACCTTCTTTAAAAACATTCCATAGAGAACATTCACATTCATTTTTCTGTGCATCTGGCACATAGCAGATGCCTGTACAACTTTGTACACTCTGGTTCTGTTTTCCAGGCCACATGGTCAGCTGCTTTCAGGGCCCTCTTTTACTGTCCTGTCTACTTTAGTAGTATATTCAATTAATGCTTAGCTGCTTGATTAGTAAAGGACTAGAGACTTTAGGTCTTTCCCCAAAAGGAAGGTTTATGGTTCTTAGTGTTCTACTGGACGCCATTGAAAATGGAAATTTAATTAGAAAAGACTTCTGGGGAAAAAAAAGACTTCTGAACTGAGTTATTTGTAAGGAATAATCTCTTCCAGGAAGCTTAAGTCCTTTAAATAAGGTTTTCATTCATTTTTCATCTATCCTTTATTGAATGCTTTTAAAAAAAAACTTTTTTGTATTGGAGAATAGCTGATTAATAATGTCGTGATAGTTTCAGATGGACATCAAAGTGACCCAGCCATTGTTGTTGTTCAGTTGTGTCCAACTCTGTGACCCCACGGACTGCAGTATGTCAGGCTTCCCTGTCCATCACCATCTCCCTGAGCTTGCTCAAACTCATGTCCATCGAGTCAGTGATGCCATCCAACCATCTCATCCTCTGTCGTCCCCTTCTCCTCCTGCCTTCAATCTTTCCCAGCATCATGGTCTTTTCTAGTGAGTTGACTCTTCACATCAGATGGCTATGAATGCTTACTATAGCCAACCTTAGACAACAGTGATTCCTCCTGAATTATGTCTTCTGCCTTTCTTTCAAAGGAACTATATCTCCAAGATAAGAAAGATAAGTTTTTTCTAGATAGGAGAACATCTTAGAATTATTTCCCTTAGCAGCTGAGAGTGGCAAAGTTCCTGCCATTTTCCATTCCCCCCTGTTACCATATCTACCCCCAAATCAAAACCTAGCATGTCAAAAAACTTGTTCTTTTCCCCAGCTTCAGCTTCTTGAAATACCTGGTCCTTCGTACAGTTGGTAACTATGGACTATGTTAACTGACAGTGCTACTTACACCACATAGATGAGAAGTTAAGTGGATGGGGTGATGGCCTTGTCAGAAGTAGAGCCTCTGATGTCTGGTTGACTTTCCTGTTTTAGTTCACTTGATTAGATTGGCAATTTAAAATACATTTTCCTCCCAAGATAAAAAAGCTTATCTATAAAATAAAGCTTTTAGTATGCCAAGGGTCATCATAGATCCTACAAAACATATATGTATATATAATGTAACTCTTTTTAAATTGCTTTTTTCCCCCATGTCTCTCCATATATTCATAACTATGTTTGATATGGTTCCTACTTACTTGGTATTCTTTATATCACTTAGCCAGTAAATACGGATTATTCCTAGCAACTTTGGAATTGCTTCAGTTTTATTATTTTACAATACAGATATTTTCCATAGGCAAGAGCGTTCTCTCTCATTTTACTGAAGGGTATAACATACTATCTTTTTAAAGCATTTCTTTGCATTATGCTTATGCGTAACTGTCATGTATATTAACCATTATGTTTCTGTTGAAATTTACTAAAAATGACATAATAATTTGGGGAAATTGTTTTTTAAGTCTGTAGAAGAGAAGCTTTCTCTAGCACAGGAGGATTTGATATCAAACAGAAATCAAATTGGAAACCAAAATAAATTGATTCAAGAACTGAAGACCACCAAGACTACTTTAGAGCAAGATTTAGCAAAGAAAGAACAGCAATTGAAGGAACAGAATAAAGCACTACAAGATATGCAAAAAGAAAAGGTATTTTATTTTCTGACTAAATCTAGAATCTTAGAGTTACAATGGCTATAGAGATCTAGTCAAATCTCTCACCCAGTATAGGCATCACCTTTATTTTTAATAGCTCTCTCAGATGGACTTATAGTTTCTTATAAAAGACTTTTGGTAATTGGAATTCTAATGCTAGGAAGTTCCTTGTCATTTCTGTCCATTTTCTTACTGCTTTTAAGCTTTACAAACAAATCTGGTTTCTTACATGTTAGGTCCTTGGTTATTCAATAACAGATATTATAGCCCCTCAACTGTTTCTCATGTAACATGTTATCCTCTGGATTTATTAATGAGGTAATAAAAGGTCTAGGAATAATTTGTAAGCTTGTTAAAAATTTTTGAAATTAAGAACCAATTTTTTCTAAGGGGAAGTAGGGGTGTATTTTGTATAAATGATGCTAGGTTATGAAGTTGAAAGCACTGTATTATGCTTAGTACATTTAATGATCAGTTAAAATTTTATATGAAAGGGAAATTCAGATTCTAGGAAACATTTTATTTTTGGTTTTATAATTGAAATCATATATTTCCATCAGTTGATATATTCTGAAGTGTACAATTCCTAAAGTTCTTGGTATATCTTAAATTATGCAGTTCCTCAATTTTTTATTTTTTGGCTATACCAAAAAAACCTGGGCCCTCAACAGTGAGAGAGTGGAGTCCTTGAATTACCTTTAATTTAAAAATTGGATGGAAAAAAATTGGGGGATATTTTTGTGGTGATGGCACTGGTGAAGCTGGAATGAAATTTATAATTGGTGCCTCAAGTTAGAAAATTCTGACAGAACTGTATAGTTTAGAAGCCTTTAATTACAAGGGGTTTAGATCAGGTAGATCTTGTTTTTAGTTTTTGATTCTACTTCTATTTATCTTCTCTGAGTCTTGGAGAATTAAAAAAGGAGAATTAAAAAGAGCTACCTGGTACAGAGATTAAGTTAGATGATGTATAATATTCCTCCCTAGGTGCCTTATATAAAGACAGTGATATAAAGATAATCTTAATAAATGTAAGATGGTAGTTTTGGCTACACTTGAGCCAGACAGTTTTACAGTATTAACTATTTAATCCTTTATAACAGTCTTACTGTTTATATTGTATAAATAAGGACGCAGAGGCAAGAGTAGGTAAGTAATTTGTTTAACTTAGGTCACAAAGAGTCAGATACGACTGAACTGAACTGAACTTAGGCAGAAAGGGGTGATGACAGTCATAAATAGAAGCAATCATTTTTGTTATATTAATTTTAAGTATTTACTTTAAAATTATATAAATCATCTTTTCTATAGTCACTAAAAGAAAAAGAACTAGTAAATGAAAAATCTAAATTGGCAGAGACAGAGGAAATTAAGTGTAGACAAGAAAAAGAAATTGCTAAATTGAGTGAAGAACTCAAGTCTCACAAGCAGGAAAGCATAAAGGTATGTGAAGATTGTTTTTCCTTTTGTATTAGTGTTGTTAAAAGAGATACATGTATGTGTGTGTGTGTATATCTATATGTGTTTATGTGTGTAGAGATATACACACATACAGGCTGTATTTATCTGTTTATTTAGAACATAGTATGTACCAGGCATTTTTTTTAAATTGGAAGGTAATTGTTTTACAGTATGGCGCTGGTTTCTGCCATATACCAACATGGATCAGCCACAGGCACACACATTGTTGTTCCTGACAAATACTCCTGCTCTCACAGTGTTTATACTATAGTGTCTATACACATGTTGAAACTATGTTAACTTTGCTTCCAGATTATTGAATAAAGTAACCCCAAAAGTTTAAATTTTGTTGAGATGATAGTCAAGAGAGTATCCATTAAGCTTATAGATAGTAAACTTCAAAATATGTGAGTTTAGGATTAGGATTTTAAGGGATTCTGTTTTTTAAATTGTTTTTCTTCCCTAAAATCCTTTAATCTGTTATTTAGAACATTTTTCTTAGCATTAGCATGGCTGGCGTGCCACTTAAAGAAATTGAATTGCTTATAATTTGCTTTTAAAGTGTTACTCATTTTCATAGAGAAAGGTTAGATTTTTCTCAGGTGGTATCATAATTACCTCTTGTGTCTATCAATATACTTGCCATTTTACTTTATAATTATCTCTTTATATCATATTCTTATAGACTGACTTCCTAAAAGCAGGGAATGTATATAATTTATCTTTTATGAATATCCCTAGAACGTAACAGTGTGTGATGCCTAAATGTTGACCAGTAAATGCTTGCGAAATGAAGAAAGGGAAAATAGGGGGGGTAGAAATTTTTCATATAATTTAATCAAAACATATGCATTGCAAAGCATCAGCTGAATTTGAATGTTGAGCAGCAAATACATAATCTTGCACCTTTTTAACTGTTTGAAATACTGAACTTTAAGAAAGAGTCTAAAACTCATTGTATTGAGATAAGCTGTATAAATTTCAGCTTTTTTTTTTTTAAACTATAAAGGATGATTTATTTTGGTCTTACTTTTTCATAGGAAATAACAAATCTCAAGGATGCCAAACAGCTTTTGATTCAGCAGAAATTAGAGCTTCAAGGGAAAGTAGATTCCCTGAAGGCAACCCTTGAAGAGGAGAAGAAAACCCAGCAAATGCTAAAAGAGCAGATGAAAAAGGAAGAAGATGAGCTGAAGAAAGAGTTTATGGAAAAGGAAGTTAAACTGGTAAGTTAATGGTGGGAGGTGTGTTTTGCAATTGATTTTGTAAATTAATCCATTAAAAGAGGATTTTTCTACATAAAAGTTATGATTCAAATGCTTACCTAACCTTTTTTTAGATTTTATTTTTCATTGGAGGATAATAACAATATTGTGTTGGCTTCTGGCCGTACAGCAACATGAGTCAGAATGGCCATCATCGAAAAATCTACAAACAGTAAATGCTGGAGAGGGTGTGGAGAAAAGGGAACCCTCTTACACTGTTGGTGGGAATGTAGATTGATAGACAGTATGGAAATTCCTTAAAAAACTAGGACTAAAACTACCATATGACCTGGCATTCCCACTACATTTTAATTTTTAAGATAGAAGATGTGATTTGTTTAAATAGCTGACATGTGATTGGAAGTGTTTATTCTGTAATTATATTTCAGTTTATATAAGTGAAAGTTCAATAAAACAATTAAAAAAACACTTTTAGTGTCAGAAAAACAAGCCTATAACTATGTAGACTGAGGTAGATGGCATGAGTGCTAATCATGTTAAACTTGTTTAGTTAACTGAATGTTGATGTGGGCGAACGGAAACTGCAGCTTGGCCTTATGCTGACTAGAGTCTACTTTTCCTTCTCTAACTTGTGCATGCCAGATAGGAAGCACCTGGCTTTCCTCTGTTGAACTGAGTCCAAATATCCCCAGATAGTTTGACTGCTAAATGTTTTCAGTGAAGAATTGCGGTTTCAGGTTCATGTGGTGATCTGAAGTAGTAGTATTATTTTTTGGCAGTTTGATAGAGACAGGAGGATACATTTGGAATTTGAGACATAAGAAAATGCCAGCTTTTGTCTCCAGGGCACTTGCTATCCCTAACTATGTGTTCTTCCCCTGCTCTAGTGGGAAAAAGGAAAATCTCCAATTGCTTTACTTTAGCTTGATTTTGTAAGAGGCTTGCTGCCTCTCATTTCAGTCTTAAGACTTTTAAACCAGTTCAAATTATGCAGATATTTGTGGAATCAATTTTATTAGTGCCTGCTTTCCTGTAGATTATTATTTATGCTGCCATTGTTTAAAGTTCAACAACTTAAGTTTATTTTGCACTATTTTGTAGTAGGTTTTTTACCTACTGTTGTTCCTTTTCTCAGCATTCCGAAATAAAAGAAAAAGAAGTAGGAATGAAGAAGCATGAAGAAAATGGGGCTAAACTTGCCATGCAGATTACAGCATTAAATGAAAACTTGGGCACCATGAAGAAAGAGTGGCAGTCCAGTCAACGGAGAGTCAGTGAACTTGAGAAACAGACGGATGACTTACGGGGTGAAATTGCAGTACTGGAAGCGACAGTTCAGAATAACCAAGATGAAAGGAGGGCATTACTGGAAAGGTGGTTGATGTCTAGTGAAATTAGTTTATTTCCGTGCTAAGTGATAAAAAGATTGTATTTCACATTAAAAAAACAGAAGTCTTGAGAGAAGTGCTCCTACAGGTTAAGCAGCCGTTTAAAAACTAACCCTTCCAACAATCATATAGGTGAAAGTAATGTATTATGTTTAAAGTCACTGAAGTGGTTATCTGTATACAGGGAAGGTCTGTAATGATTTTTTAAATAATGTTTGCATTCCATTTTAGGTGTCTTAAGGGAGAAGGTGAAATAGAAAAGCTTCAAACCAAAGCACTGGAATTGCAAAGAAAGCTGGACACCACCACTGCGGCGGTGCAGGAGCTAGGCAGAGAGAACCAGTCCCTTCAGGTGCGGCGCCTGCTCAGCCGAGAGCCTCCCTTAGTGCCGAGCGTGTTTCCACATTGAAAAAGAAAACCTCATACTTAATAATGCTTTTAAATGTATAGCAGTACTATAGGTGTTAATGGATAATTAAATACAAGATTTATAGAATTTATCTGAGAGACCTCCAGAAGTGGAGAGCCATGTCATTCATGAGTTGCCATTATTGGGAAAAGTGAAGAACACGGATGAATGAGTCCCTGTATGTTGAAGTGATCTCATTATATGCTCAGAGTTCCAAGGAAGGATTGCTTGATCCTTAGGATTAGAATGCATTGGAAATCATCAAAGGTTAGAAATTAACCAACACCTTTGAGGAATAACATTTGCTTTACTTATTGTCATTCATTTGTAGCAACTTTTGATAATGAAACTTGACCAAGGTATTTCTAATTTTTGAAAATGTATCCATTTTAAAACTTGGGGACCTAGTTAGAAATTATAAATCATTGTTTATAGTTTGGAGTACTATTTATTGAAACTTTTTCTCTTTAATAGATCAAACATACACAGGCGTTGACTAGAAAGTGGGCTGAAGACAATGAAGTACAAAACTGTATGGCCTGTGGGAAAGGCTTTTCCGTAACAGTGAGACGGGTAAATGATTTTATTACTATGGTTCTGGATTTTATTCCTTGGTGACAATGTTTTAACCATCAAAATTGTCCTGCATTTGACAGACTTCAAAAGTTTTGCCATTTATTTAATTTATAACTACAAAGAATAATTAAATTTCATGCACTCTAATTTCTTTTTAGCCCATGTATTTCAGTTTTAATTTTAAATTGAATCATTGTCTTCCTACTGAGTTACTCTTTGGAATAATCATTTTCTGAACCAGTGCATTCATGGTCAACTCATGTTTTAGTCATTGCTGCATTCTCTTAAAGGAGAAAAAAGAGATAAAAAGAAATTCTAAATAATGCCATTATGTGATGTATTCTATAGAAGAAATTATGCCCAGAACATTTTGCAAATAGGAATAGTTTTTCACTTGACAGAGGTGCTTTATTAAGTACTTTATTAAGGCATTTATTAAAATCCTCTGAAGGTGGTTCTGAGAATTCCAAGATAAATTCCATATTTAATGTTTAGTATTTGATTATTAAATAGGAAGCATTCAAATTAACTAAAGGGATTAAATTGATATTGAAATTTTATATTATTAAATAGTATATCAATCACTTGAAAGTTAATATACTTTCACAGTGCAAGTTTGCTTTCTTCTTATAGTCTCATAATACTTTTGGTACAGTTTTTATGCTTGAAAATGTTTAATTTTTGTCATTTACAGCATCACTGCAGACATTGTGGAAATATCTTCTGTGCTGAGTGTTCAACCAAAAATGCCTTAACTCCTTCTTCCAAGAAGCCTGTTCGTGTCTGTGATGCATGTTTCAATGACCTACAAGGATAATGGGTTATCACAACTTCAAAGTAATGTTACAGTAACATTAGGTTTTGATAAATGCACCTAATAGAGGTCCTGGACTACTACTCTTTGATTTGGACAGTGGTTGCAATACTAAACCAAATTAGAATTCGTATATTTTGGAATGTTATCAAGTAAAATTCCTCTATTTTTGTGAGACTTGAGTTCATCTTTCTCCATTTACCCCTGGAACAGCTTTCGTGCCAAGTTTAGGAGTAGCCAATGAAATGTAAATAAATTTTGGACGGAAAATAGCAATGTATTTTTTTAAATATAATTTCATTGTTCAGAAATGGTATGAATACACTTCCATAGCTGCTTCTTTCTCCCAAATTTAGTGTATGGAAATGTATATGGGTGATGTTACCCTATCAGATATATTGCACAATAACACATCAATTATATTAAATATTCTCATTATAAAGTCATGCACAGAACTATAAAGCTTTCTTTTTTTCTTATATATAGGTCCATAGCTCAGTTGCATTGTTACAAATTTACTACTCAAGTGTTCTAAATACAGATTATGTTTAAGTATGTATTAACCATGAATTCAAACATGGTTTTTATGTTAACTATATTAAGTTCTCTTGGGTGGATTTTATGGCAATCTCTTTAAAATTAATTTGCTTATTTTATGACTATCCATATTTTATCTGTATTATGGCTATTCTTGGGTTGTATTTAAAGATTAGGGTTAATTTTTCTTTTTTGTCTTTCTAACTCATTTTTAAACTCCAACATATTCTTAATTAAAAATCCTACAAAACTTACCAGCCTCACCCCCAGTTGGAAGGTGAATAACATAAATTGTGTAATGGTCCTATTCTGTGTTTAAGTAGGAAGTCTTCTGAGATTAGCTTTCATTTTATATTCTCATTTTGTCTCTCCAGCATCTTCAGGAATCTGAATTTGCTTTTTTTAATGGATCTTCTTTTTTGAAGGTAATTTGGTTTAACCTTCTCAAGTATAGCTCAGCTTCACTGTAACTGTGTTGTAATTTTGCATCTTAAAGCTAGTAACTGGTATTGCTATAGACTTATCTGTGAAAACAAATATAAATCGGCAAGGAGATGTTAAATATCCTGTTTTATATTTTCTACTTAGCTAACAGGGAAGAGTTTTTTAAAGTTTTGAACTTGACTTAGATTTTAAAGGTTCTAAATTTGGGGTTTCATATCAACTGTGTATCTGTTTACTTCACAAAAATAATGCTATGAAATTATCTTGAAATAACAGTTGGATAATAGAGTATCGCCAAAAACAAATGTGTTTAGGAACCCCTATATTAAAACCAGAACTGAAACAGAATGACTAACTGAGGGTAATTAAAAATTGGCTTATTTGTATGCTAAACAATGGAATTAAACTTTATCATAGTCTTACTGTGGAAAATTGGAAAACATCTGAAGAGTCATTAATATTGCTGTGTTACTCTGAGAAGAAATGTAGGTATGCGTTCACTCAGCGCAGTCATTCGGTAATGGGGGAGGGTGGGACCTAATAATTCATTTACAGTAAGTGCTTTCAAGTATCATGCTGAAATGAAATTATCATGTTACATTCTTCCTATATGTATACAAACTAAAAGAGATTGCCACATATTCATTAATTTAAAAACCCATTTAAGTAAACTGTTGTCAGTAGCTATCGAGGACCCTGACTGAGTCCTTGGACTCAGATAAATAACATACATCTTTGAGCATAAATGTTGAAGAAATACAATGGTCCCTGATTAAAAATAAGTTGGATAATAGAAACTATGCATTTTCATATACTTATAATTCAAATACTCTTAATTCTACACTTATAATTAATAAGCATGTTGGAATAACATTCACAGCACAGTTCTTTTTAATGATAATGAAATTTCCTGGATTAGAATATCTGTTCCCTTCATCTCCTAACTGGGTGCACTGAAGGCCTTTCCCTGTCTTGTCCCCCCTGCCCACGTAGTCATAACAAATACATATGTGTTTGAGTATTTTCTACTTTTCGTCTAGCTAATCTTACTTTATAAGCCCCAAATAATTTGACTACATATTAAGTAGAAGTGAAACCTAAAATTTAGCTACTAGTCTCACCAACAAGGTGTTTTAGAAACAAAAGGTTTTCTTTTTCTTTTAATTAAAAAGTCATTCTCTTAGTGCTTACTGGCTCTACATTTTAGATGTCTACTAGTACTCTGTCAGTGATTTAGAGCTGGCACATACGGAGTCCCAGCTCTAATGCAAAGCATATTGGCATCACACGTTAGTAAATTCTAAGCCCCAGCACAGAAATGTGAGTTAATAATCAAGTCTTGCTGGGTTAGTGTACAATAAACTATACCTATGGAATTTTTAATAGAAGACAAAGCTGCTGTTATAGGATTTATTTTGAAGAAAAAAAGAGGGAAACAAACAGAAAAACCTCAACGCAGTGTATAATTTTGTTCAACTACCTCTTAATGCGGAATTAGATAGTTTAATAGCTTCCTCACAGTAATGTTAAATAGTAACTGCCAAATTTGTTAGTTCCCCATCTCTGTTGAAAATTATGATTATTTTATAGTTTGGAGAACTTTAAAGACACTTTTTTTTTTACCTTGCATTTGCATAAAGATGTTTAGCTTTTAAGTGAAGAGCAAATTATGATCATATATTTTGATATTATTCATGACCTATTTGACTAGTTTTTTTTTTTAAATGCACTTTGGCTATGAAACCATGGATGATTTGATCCATAAGATTTAAATGTGCCATTAATTTAGTATTCCTAGACATGAGCTTGATGAATGGTATTCTGTGGTTATATAATGTGCCACACATTATTGTCTTAATTGCCCTTTGCCTGAATTTTAATGATCAGTTATTGTTGCAGATGTGAATATTGTGCATAAACTTACTAAATTTATGTAAAATTGTATAAAATAGAATTGGAAATAGCTAGGTTCTGTGTAGAAGTAATGAATTTATTGTAACATGACACAGTTATGTCTATGACATTCTGTACTTCCTGAACTGGATCATATTCATAGCTTCTGTAGATACTTTTGCATGAATATTTTTTCCTTTAGATTTTGGATTCATTGTATTGTTTACTATTTGTGATCATGTAGTTGTGCCTTATTTGTGAGAGAGTTTAGCTCAGTAAATACTGTGATTTCTAAACTCAGTCAGTGGAAGGTTATTGATTATAAATGTAACTGATAAATTACATAACATTTAAATCTGTATAAAGAATAATGGAAGGATCCTTTATTGAATTGTTGCTTTTTAAAAAAAAATGCTAAAGACATTAAAAATCATTTCTTTCTAGTATTTCTGTGACCAAATTATTTTGTCAAATTATTTAAAAAGATAATGTAAAATGGTTAATATCTTATAGACTTAGAACTTTGCACTTGGATATAGACAGTGGATGTGCTTTAATGTTCAACTTAGAATAGTAATTAGGTTCATAACTTCAAGAGAAATTACTAGTGCTGTTTTGCTTCAGCCATCTCCTTTTCACTCCATTATTGCAGAGAATTAGCAAAACTAAAAAATCTTAATATTAATCCCTTGTTCATTGCACATTTAAATTTAATAGCTAGGTAACCACTTAGATACTTTTCTGATGGCTTAATGTACTGTTGCTTTTTACTGTCCCCCCCACCCTCAGAAACCGAAGTTTTTTCATTTTACTCTAATGTGTTTTCCTCTGAAGAGAATGTATATATCCTCAAACACTTATTAGATGTGTTCTTTTGTGAGCTTTATAGAATTCCACTTCAAATACATAGCATTATTCTTCTTTTAAATTTTATTGTGGTAGGAACAGTTAATATGAGATCTACATCTACCCTCTTTTAAGTGTACCGTACAACACCTCTCCCAAGCTCACTCATATTGCTTAACTGAAACTTTATGCCCAGTGATTGATTAGTTCCCTCTACCCCCTGGCAACTATCATTCCACTCTTTGATTCTACAAACTTGAGTATTTTAGAAATCTCACATAAGTGGAATCATGCAGTATTTGTCTTTCTGTGACTGACTGACTTCCCTTAGCATAATGTCCTCAGGCTTCATCTATGTTGTTGCCTGTTTCAAATTTTCTTCTTTTTCAAGGCTGAATAGAATTCCATTGTATGTACAAACCAGTTTCTTTATCCACTCATCAAGGTTTTTTCCTCATCTTGGCTATTGTGAATAGTGCTGCAGTGAACACAGAAGTGCTGAGATTTCTTTGTATATAGCATATTTTAAAGATGTTTTACATCTTAAATAATTAAATTTACATGTTAATTTAGTCAATCTTTTTTTTCTCCCTTTGATGAGATTTAAGGGAGAAATCATTTTTGATACATACGTGTTTACTGGCCTCATGGAACTAAAAGGAATCTTGAGAGATCACCTAGTCTTGCTCTTTTCCTAGGTTGGCTGATCTCTAGAAATCCCTGCAAGATGATTTTTTTTCTAAAAAATACATAAATTAGTTTTCATCTCTAAGAACTTAAAATTTGTTCTCCTGTACCTTTGCCTTTTTTCTTTCTTAGGCACTGACAGTAGTTACTGGTTTTCCTTTCATTTTCACTTACTCCTAATAAATGCGACTTTATTACACAGAGGCGGTGACCCTCCCTTCTAATAGTCCTTGGCCCTTTAAAAGTGCTGTTACGTTGCACTTGTCTGCACTGCCTGGTTTACATGGTGAAACATGCCTTCTTCTCCAAGAATTAAGTGTTCACATGACCTCCCCAAGTGTTATCCTCTCTATCCCATTCTCCAGCTTAAGGAGATCAGTTTAAGTATCATTTGTCTTGCTGTCCGAGTTGATAAATATACTACTTCCATTTTGGAAACTGCAGAAGGTACCATGTCTGAAGTTGTCTAAAATGAAAATCACAAATTTCATTCTGAGAATACAAACTAATTCCTTACCTGCAGTTAATAGTATATTCTATCATGATAATAATTCAACCTGCCTTTCTTGGTAAGAATTCTGATGATGTTTTAAGTCCTGCCAAATAAGATGCAGTGATGGTATTGTGCTAACTCACACACACATTCAAAACCAGAAAGTTTTATGAAAAATTGCATTATTCAAAAAGTGAGATTTAGAGAAAGATATGCTACTATTTCTATGAAACTTCCCAAGTAAAACTTAACTAGTAAAATTAGAACAGATAATTGCTTTTTTCTCAAAACAATGGAATTTAGTCTTTTGGGATTTTCTCCAAGTTAAGAGTATTATAAAGTATACCTGAGATAAGTAAACTGTTGGAGACTAGGAATTTAAAAACCTCTACTAAGATGAAGACATTATTATTCATTGCTTAGTATGTTAAAAGAGCAATCCAACTTTGTATGAGGTAGGATTGTAGAGCAGTAAAACTGACTTACAAACCAGGTAGGAGACTTGGTTTCATTACAGATAGACACAGAATCAGATGCTAGAATTCATATCAGACCCAAGCAGGGGCACTGTTTTCCACCTGACACTGCATCCACCTGATTATCCATTACAAATGGTAATAGCCGCATACTTCCCTCACCCCCTTTTCAAGCCTGCCTGAAGCATTATGAGATACTCTGGGATATCAACATGTGTATATGTAACAAGAAATTCCTCAGGGTTCAAATTTGTTGAAGTCATTATTACTCTACCCTGAGGAGTACCTAGCTCAAATTCTGAAACTTCTTTAAAATGCTTATTCTAGGTCATCCCTAGGTTAAGTGCTGCAAGTTTGAATGAAAGAATACCTTAGTCCCTAATGTCTAAAAGGTGTGCCACTTGATTTAGGTCCCTAAATCTCCGAGGATTCTGCAGGCAAAGTGAATGAGGACATTTTCTTGGTTTCTTGACTCTTGGTGAAGCAAGAGATTGCTGCTGTTATTTGTGCTATCCATGTTCTCTGTTAAAGAAGAAATATAGTGAGAAGAGAATGTTAAACTGACAATTTCTCACATATTTGGATTAACATTTTCCTTTGTATCTGTTGACTTGCTCTTTAAAACCGAAGACCGATGAAACATTTGCCTGTCTCCCATTTTCTGTCTTAAATAAAATGTATCATAAATACCTCCAATCACATGAATGCAAATGGATTAGATGAGTATGGTATTCTGGATAAACAGTTGTGAGTAATCAAGAAACCATAATAGTTAAGGATGACAATTACAAAGATGAGTATTGGGAATGTAAGTAGTTTGAAAGTTGAATTTCTTAAATATCCACTTTGTGTGGAAATAGAAGTTCTTAATCAGCTGGCATAACTTGAAAAGCAGGCTGAGGGAAGAAATCGAGTCCTTGAAAATAATGCAGGCTTCCATTAATTGGCCACACTGCTGTCCTGATGAAAGCCTACCAGGGAAAGACGAAAATGGAAACTTCTAAGATAGAGACACCAGAGTCAGATAGGCAGCCGCTCTTCAGCTCCATAGCTGTAAAAACTCGGGCCTATTTTCAAAGAGTGAAGAGAAGACTTGGTGGTTCATTACTGCAGAAGCCCCTCACTTAAGCTGGCATCATACTGTTTGCATACGGGGCTTTGAAATTGATTAGAACATCTTAAAAGCATGCAAGCCAAAGCAGTTTTACCCTCATTTCCTATAGACCTCCCAGAATTCAGAGGCAGCTCTTAAGCTGCTGCTGCAGGAGAAACAAGGGAGGCTGTGTCAACACTGGGGATATAAGAAAATGGTCAGTGCTGAGGTTTCTGAGCCTGATGTGGTTATTAGATACTCATATCCTTCCTGTCCTCCCAAACTTGACAAAACTTTCCTTTCACTGTTCCTTAATGAGTTTGGAGTGAGATTTTTTTCCCTCTTAGGTCTGAAGCATCAAAACCTACAAACCTGAAATACCTACCTTGATATTTTCCGTTTGGGCTTGTAATAAGAATGCTGCTATACATTGTCGATATCTGTTTTCATGTTGTATGAGGAAAGCATTTCTCAGCCCAAAGACTAGAAAAAGATTAAGGACAAGACAACAAAGCATTCAATATGAAATCCATAGTTTCTGAGCTTAAGAACCTGGATTTTTGTTTGTTTATTAATGTGTGGGAGTTTTCTGTCCTATGTCTATGAGAGTGCCCACTTAACTACGCAGACCTTTTCTTCCCTAGCCAAACAATTTCCGGGACTTGATGAAATACATTTGTGGCTTAAGTGATGGAAAATGTGTTCCTCCCCAAGGAAGAAATTTAGTGTATTAGATAGACTTTGTGTAAAATAAAATACTAATATGAAAAATAATTAGTTTCTTTGACGCCCCCCGCCCCCCCATTCCTTTTTTTGTACTTAAAGGCAAGTTAAACATCAAGACAAGGGTTAAACAATTAACATGTGGCAAACATACAAAAACCACCTGAATGCTTCACAGCAATCTAAGAAAAGCCCCGCCCCCCCCAAAAAATGGACTCAAATAAAATCCAACATCCACCAAATTATGTGAAATGTAAAACAAAAACAAAAAACGTTGGCATGGTTTCTGTGTTTGAAAAGAAATGGTCTGTTCTGTCATTTCCTAGCATCTCTTAAAGAAACAACAGGAGATTTTCCTGGGAAAGCAGATTTTCCTTTCTTTTTATTAATACAGCTGGAGCTCTTAAAATGAAAGTTTGTCCTTGAATTATTTATACAACACTAGGGATAAAGTTCTGCAGTCTATATATTCTTTCTATAGTCAATTTATGTCTGGGAACAAAGCCAAACCAGGTCATACCGAGTACTACAGAGAGAAGGACAGGGTGCCTCTTCCTGGCTGATCATTAAGCTGATGCTTGTTCACGGTCATTATTCCTATTCCTTGAAGTTCGTGGGTTTAATTTATACTCACTGAGGCAAGTTGAGCCTCATTTCAGAATTGAAGCAAATATGAGACTTTTATTTTCTTAACTGTGAACTACTTAACTCTTACAAACTGTTAACAGTCCATTCCTCATAATTCCTAAATTCTACCACAACAAAGCCTGACAAGGTCATGAAATTCTGTCCAACTTTTCTGGGGTGAGAGAACTTAAACCTATTAAAATGACTTTCTGGAAAAAAGATCTGGCTGTGTTTGTTTAACTTCCTGATTTTTCTCCTTATAAATTCCCTGCAGCAAGTGAGGCTTTAAAGATCAGGTGGTTGTTCTTGGCTGGATTTCAGAATCCATTTTCCTCATAATTGTATCTGTAGTTCTCAGTTATTTAAGGTATCCCTCATCTGTTTGGTTTGTAGTATGACTACTAAAGACTTCAAAAGCAAAAGTATCTTGTGTGGCGAGGCTTAGAAGATAAAATAAGGTGATAAAAAAATTAAAAAAGGAGTAGCTCTTTTCTCCCTGATGTTCTAATAATTAACAATAGTTGACATCATTTATTAAGCACTTACTATCACTAGGCACAGTGCTATGTATTTTTCCCTTATTGTCATTTAAACCACACATAGACTTTATAAGATAGGAAAACTTAGCCCAAATCACCAAAACAATCTTGAGAAAGAACCACCTCGGTGCTGGAGGAATCAATGCTCCCCGAGCCCAGACTATACTGCGGTGACCGAAAGAGTATGTATGGTACCAGCACAAAAACAAACACACAGATCAATGAAAGGACAGGAAGCTCAGAAATAAACCCATGTACCTATGGTCAATTAATCTATAGCAAAAAAGGCAAAAATATATAATGCAGAAAGACAATCTCTCAAAAAAAATGAGCTGGGGAAACTGGACAGCAATGTGTAAAAGAATGAAATTAGACCACTACCTAACACCATATACACACCCAAAAAAAGAAAAAAAAACCTCAAAATGGATTAAAGACTTAAAAGTAAGACTGGATACTATAAAACTCCTAGAGGAAAAGATAAGTGGGATACTCTTTGACAAAAATAGCAATATTTATTTGGATTCATCTCCTAGAGTAATGGGAACAAAAGCAAAAATAAATCAAATGGGACCTAATTAAATTTAAAAGCTTTTTCAGAGCAAAGGAAACCATACAAAGACAACCTACAGAAGAGGAGGAAATATTTGCAAATGATGCAGCTAACAAGGGATTAATTTCCAAAATAAACAACTTATACAACTCAGTATCAAAAAAGCAAATAGCCTAGTAAGAAATAGGCAAAAGACCTAAACAGGAATTTCTCCAAAGGAGACATACAGATGGCCAACAGGCACATGACAGGATGCTCAACATCACTAATTATTAGAGAAATGCAGATCATAACTACAATGAGGTGCCACCGCACACAGGGCAGAATGTCCCATCATTAAAAAGTCTACAAATAATAAATGCTGGAGAGGGTGTAGAGAAATGGAAATTCCCCCTACTCTATTGATGGGAATGTAAACTGCTGCATCCACTATGGAAAACAGTATGGAGGTTCTATAAAAAACTAAAAATTACCAGATGACCCAGCAATCCTCCTTCTGGGTATATATCTGGAAAAGACAAAAACTGAAATGATACATACACCCCAATGTTCATAGCAGCACTATAGTAGCCAAGACATGGAAACATCCTAAATGTCCATCAACAGATACACATACACACACACACACACACACACAAATATTACTCAGCCATGAAAAAGAACAGTGCCATTTATAGCAACATGGATGGACCTAGAGATATGTAAAGTGACATCTTAACAGAAAGACAAATACAGTATTTCTTATGGAATCTAAAAAAGGGATACAAATGAGCTTATTTACAAAACAGACTCAGAAAAAAAATTTGTAATTATCAAAGGGCAAAGGTAAGGGAGGGATATATTAGGAATCTGAGATTAACAGATACACATTACTGTATCAACATCGTGTCGGACTCTTTGCAACCCCATGAACTGTAGCCTGCCAGGCTCCTCTGTCCATGGAATTTTCCCGGCAAGAATACTGGAGTGGGTTGTCATTTCCTCCTCAGGGAATCTTTCCAACCCAGGGATTGAACCTGCGTCTCTTGTGTCTCCTGCATTGACAGGTGAGTTCTTTACCACTGTGCCACCTGGGAAGCCCCACTGTATCAACATGTGAAACAGATAAAGAGGCCTTCCCTGGTGGCCCAGTGGTAAAGAATCCACCGGCCAATGCAGTAGACACGGGTTCGATCCCCGATCCAGAAGACCACACATGCAGTGGGGCACCTAAGCCTGAGCGCCACTACTGAGCCTGTGCCCAAGAGCCCAGGAGCTGCAGCTACAGAGCCCGCATGCTGCAACCGACTGAAGCTGGCTGCCCTAGAGCCTGTGCTCTGCAACAGGAGCCACTGCAGTGAGAAGCCTGCACACTGCAATTAGAGAGTGGCCCTCACTTGCCGCAACCACAGAAAAGCCCACACAACAATAAAGACCCAGCACAGCCAAAGAGAAATAAAAAGATAGATAAACAAGGACCTACTACATAGCACAGGGAATTAAATTCTTCAGTACCTTGTAATAACCTACAATGGAAAAGAATCTGAAAAAAAATGTGTGTGCGTGTGTGTATAAAATGGAACACTGCATACTTGGAACACTGTAAATCCACAATACTTCAATTTTTTAAAAAAAGTCAACTAATTCCAAATGAGGACACAGATTAGGTGTATTTTTCTAAGGTCACACAGCTTGTGAATGATACAGCCAGGATGTGAAACTAGGTTTCTGTCACTTCAAACACAATCCCTTTTTTTCAGACTTTATTCTGTTTCACCCTACAGCTATTCTGACTCAGGCACTGTATCTGAACAGTTAAAATAATTTAAATAATTTAAAAATTAAAAATAATTTAAAAACAAAAATGAAATGGTCGTAGCAAATTAAAAAGTAACAAAACATGGTGGAAGTATGGTTTTAAAAAGGTACTGATTTTATTAAAGAAAGAAAAAAAAAGGAATACAAAAGAAAAAACATGCCTCTTCCAAGGGAATCCTAGGATGTCAGGTTTCCCATAGAGTCCAGCTGTCTGGCGGGGCTGTGGCTGACCTGAGCCCAAGCTGCTTCCCTCTCCTGCTGGGGGATCACACGCCTTCCTCGGCTCACATCCATAAATCCTGGCAGAATCTTCTAACTATGGCCACTCTAGTAAGAAGGCTGTGTCCCTCTGAGATGCCCCTTTCTAAGCTTGCTCAGGAAAGCTCTCTGGTTTATGCAGATTTTGGCCTCTGATCTAAGAGGCCTTAAGGCCTGTCTAGCTGTTTTTCAGCAAAGCTTCTATTTCTTCTAAGTAGAACAGACAAGGGAAGCAGAAGGCTCTAGTTCTGGATGCAGGTTCCTCCCACCCCACTGGAGCCCTGCTGCTCTTGGGGAGAGTGTGGATACATTGAGGATTTAAACATTCAAATATAAAACCTCGTTACATAACATACTGCTGTAAACTGTGGAGTATTCACGGTGCACTGTTGCTGTGCCATGTATAGGCTGGTCCCCTGCTACTGACTAGGGACCAACCAGCCCAGGGCTTCTGGGCTGGGTACTGCAGGGCTTGGACTGTCCTCCCTGTCCTCTCCTCCGTGCAGGAAGGCACTCCCCTCCTACTGTCTTTGCTGGTCTCCTATGAGCCTGTACCCAAGGCAGAAAGAGGCCTAATTCCTTTCGAACACTGCTGCCCTCCCACCCAGTACTAAGTCAGCCAAGATGTCCTTCAAGTCCCTCAGAGACCCAGGGCTTTCCTGAAAGGATGTATTGATCTTTCATTGTTCTGAGGACTCCATCTTTGTGACTCCGAGGCACGTAGAGAGTGCCTGGTTCTCAGGAAATGCTTGAAAAACAAAAATATATATTTCTGATCTATACACATGTGTATGTATGTATACCTATTTCTATGTTTATTTCTGGCAATTTTCTATAGAGCAATTGCAGTAAAATATCTTAGGCTTTCCTAGCATGTCTTGGTTTACCAGTGCTTTAACAATAACATTGGTACTAAAATGATTAACAGACCTAATAATAGCCATCATTTATTGACTGCTTTACCTGCATTATTTAACTCTCATGAGAACCAACTGGGGAAGATATTATCTTGATTTTATCAAGATGAATTATGAACAAAGCTAGTGGAAGTGATGGAATTCCAGCTGAGCTATTAAAAATCCTAAAAGATGATGCTGTTAAAGTGTTGTACTCAATATGACAGCAAATTTGGAAAACTCAGCAGTGGCCGCAGGACTGGAAAAGGTCAGTTTTCATTCCAATGCCAAAGAAGGGCAATGCCAAAGAATGTTCAAACTACCATACAATTTCCCTCATTTCACACACTAGCAGAGTTATGCTCAAAATCCTTCAAACTAGGCTTCAGCAGTATGTGAACTAAGAAATTTCTAGGTGTACAAGCTGGGTTTAGAAAAGGTAGAGGAACTAGAGATCAAATTGCCAATATTTGTTGGATCATAGAGAAAGCAAGGGAATTCCAGAAAAACATCTACTTCTGCTTCATTGACTATGCTAAAGCCCTTGACTGTGTGGACCACAACAAACTGGAAAATTCTATAAGAGATGGGAATACCAGACTGCCTTACCTCTCCCCTGGGAAAGCTGTATGAAGGTCAAGAAGTGACAGTTAGAACTGGACATGGGATAACTGACTGGTTCACACTTAAAAAAGGAATATGACAAGGCTGTATGCTATCACCCTGTTTTTTAATGTATATGCAGAGTGCATCATGCAAAATGCCAGGGTGGATGAATCGCAAGCTGGAATCAAGATTGCCAGGAGAAGCATCAGCAACCTCAGATAGTCACATGACAACCACTCTAATGGCAGAAAGTGAAGAGGAACTAAAAAGCCTCCTGATGAGGATGAAAGGGGAGAATGAAAAAGCTGGCTTAAAACTCAACATTCAAAAACTAAGATCATAGCATCAGTCCCCTCACTTCATGGCAAACAGAAGGGCAAAAAGTGGAAACAGTGACAGATTTTATTTTCTTGGGCTCAGAAATCAGTGTGGATTGGTGACTGCAACCATGAAATTAAAACACTTTCTCCTTGGAAGGAAAACTATGACAAACCTAGACAGTGTATTAAAAAGCAGAAACATCACTTTGCCGACAAAGGGCCATACAGTCAAAGCTATGGTTTTTCCAGTAGTCATATACGGATGTGAGAGTTAGACCATAAGAAAAGCTGAGTGCCAAAGAATTTTGATTTGTAGGACTGGAGTGCTAGAGAAGACTCTTGAGAGTCCCTTGAACAGCAGGGAGATCAAACCAGTCAATCCTAAAGGAAATCAACCCTGAATATTCATTGGAAGGACTGATGTTGAAGCTCCATACTTTGGCCACCTGATGCAAAGAGCTGACTCACTGGAAAAGACCCTGATGCTGGAAAGACTGAGGGCAGGAGGAGAAGGGGATGACAGAGGATGAGATGGTTGGATGGCATCACCAACTCAATGGACATGAGTTTGAGCAAACTCCAGGAAGTAGTGAAGGATAGGGAACCCTGGCATGCTGCATCCATGGAGTTGCAAAGAGTTGGATTATGACTTAGCAACTGAACAACATCTGTGGCTTAGAAAATTTACATATTGAATTGGCCCAGAAGTTTTAGTTAGGTTTTTCCGTAAGATCTTACAGAAAAGGCAGAATGAACTTTTTGGCCAACCCAATACCTTGCACACAGTCACACAGTTAGCAAGGGACAGAGCTGGGTCATCCAAGTGTTGGAAGCAAGTCCAGTACTCTTTCCATAACTAGCCTGTAGAATGTGTGATATTTAACTACACAGAAACTCAGTATTATCTTTGTCAAAGATTTAAATTGGATTCATGTCCTGCTATCAAAAAAGGCCAACATAACACTCTGGGATGGCAAAGGGTTGAGCTGAATGATGGAAATAAGACACATACCTGACACGTGGAGTGGATCGAGACCTCTGACAACCAGTCTGTCTAGTGGAATGGGCTGGTCAATGACTGTACATGAACCACCTTCTTTGATTACTGCTTGCAGCTCAGGAGTAAGTGAAGGGCACATTAAGCCAGGGTCTGAGCCTCCAAGTTTCTGAAATTTAGGAGGAAAATAATGCAAAAAATAGGAAATAAATACTGACACACATACTTAACAGTACATCCTTAAATAAACTGATTTTTAGAAACAATTGTTTGAAATCCAGCTTACTATTTTTTTAGGATCTTGAAAAGCATCTCCCAAAGTACACAGTGATTTAAAGCACAGTGTTTCTGAGCCCCAAGTTTAATCACCTGAATAAATAAATGGTTAATTCCATAGCTTGGAAACATTAAATCACCATCACATCATTGGAAAGATCTTCATTTCCAGTATCCCTCTGTAGTACTGAGTTAAATGAATGACAAAGAGGAGCCTCATCTGGGCCCACTCTATCTATGGGATCTTACACTAAAATCTAAATAAATAGACTCCATGCTCTATGATTTATAAATAACTGAAATTGTTTTGAATATATATGCTAAATTAAAAGAAAAAGGATGTCAAAAATTGTGATGTACATGAAGCAATCTGTGCACTAAATAACAAAGAAATGAAAACACAATATTCTTTATTTCTTCTTCCAAAAAAAGAGTGACACCTGATGTCTTCTCTGGGTGGTTATTTCTGCTCCTGTGAAGTCAATAAAATTCTCAGATTTATCAGACAGAAGAATTTAAAGGGGGATTTAAAACAGGCAACATTCCTTATTTCAGAATCAAGTTGTGAAGCGTGGAAGCAGAATATTATAACGTGGTCAGTAATGAGTCACGGGCTCTGATCTGTGCCACTATGTAAAGAGAAGGTAAGCTGTGCTTAATGTCAGGTTTTGGAAGAGGACAGAGATTTTTCGGTGCTTGACCTGTTCAGACATGCTAGTCTGGCAGCTAAAATCAGGAGGCCATCCAAGTTTCGAAACTGACTCTTAGTATCTCCAACAGCCACTCCCTCCCCAACCACCGGTCAACTATTCACAGATTGATTAATGGGTATCTATTTTACTGCTTGTGAGCTAAGTCACTTCAGTTGTATTCGACTCTCTATGACCCTGTGGACTGCTCCTCTGTCCATAGGATTCTCCAGGTAAGAATACTGGAGCGGGTTGCCAAGCCCTCCTCCAGGGGATCTTCCTGACCCAGGGATCGAAGCTGCGTCTCTTATGTCTCCTACATTCCCACTAGTGCCAAGTGGGAAGCCCATTTTTTTAAATTGAGTATAGGCTCTTAAATTATTTAGCTTAACTAACCAACATGACACTTCCTGGTGGCTCAGTGGTAAAGAATCTGCCTGCTAATGCAGGAGACATGAGTTTGATCCCTGGGTCAGGAAGATCCCCTGGAGAAGGAAATGGCAATCCAACTCCAGCATTCTTGCCTGGGAAATCCCAGGGACAGAGGAGCCTGGTGGGCTACAGTCCATGGAGTCGCAAAAGAGTTGGACACGACTTATCGACTAAAACAACGAACAACAGAGACCAACATGCCATCTGGAAGCTGAGAGTATTAAAATATCCGAGAGATCCAGTCTCATGGTCTCAACATCGGGGTAAGGCTAGCCATTGAGTGAAAGAGCGAGTGGGTTAGAACATTAAGTATCTCTGATGGCCAAGGAGAAACTGCAGCTCTTCCTACCTCCAAGGGCTGCAGAAAAGGCCCCTTCCTGAAAGCACTTGCCTCAGTCAGGGAACAGACTGTGAAATGGGAAAGTGGTAGACCATGAGGCCCATGGCTTAACGGGGAGTAACGACAACAGTGGTAACAATTAATACTAGTCTTAGAAGAGATTTTGTGGCTCTAGCCCTTGGTGACTCATTTTTTCCCTGTGATGCCAACTGTACATCTGTTTGGCATCTGCAGTTCTTAACTACAGGTAGACTCTGAGAGACCAGGGCCCCTTCCCACCCGCAACCCCCTACATCATCACTTCTCAGGAAGGAGGTGCACTTTCAAACGAGAATGCATTTGGCAGATGGTTTCAAGAGGCCCCCTGCTCTGACAACTTTCACTGTGGTGGACAATGTGGATGAGGAAAAGGCTGATATGGACAAAAGGATCTTAATTTCATTTGTTGAGGCTGGCCAGGCATAAAGTCCTGTGGCTTCTGGGACTCCCCTCAAAAGTATACGGACTTGAGTCATTCTAAAAATACACACACCCTTTGGCATCCTTACGAAATGGGACTTGCTTTTGTTACTGACGTTTTTCAGTTCACAACTCTATGACAGAAAAAGTCAATACTTTTAAATGCCTCCATTTTATGGAGGGTAAAGTCCGATTTGAAGTACATGCATTTTTTCTCTTTTTAACGACTTATTCAAAGTATCTCTAAACTCATTCAACAGACTTATTTAGAAACAACAGATTTTTACCTTTTTGTTGCGCTTAGTTTTCGTAACTAAGAGGAAATCATCAAAGAGAAACAGATAAACATCTAGGAATCTTGTGCTTTCTGAGGAAAGAAAGAAGAAGTAATTGGGTCTGGAAAAAGCAAGCAAACGTTTTTTTTTTTCTTTTTAAATCAAAGAAACCCTTTAGAAAACAACACAGAACAGGGATCTGGGTGTAGGAGACTCAGGGGGCTCCAATCATGTGGGTCAGAAAATTGCATTCCAACTGAGCTGATTTCTACCTAAAGCAGGGACCTGATGTGAGCTCACACTTACAACTTTAAAGATATTAGTGATGCATTTCATGTGGATCTAAGATAACTTGGGTGCTATTTGTAGCAGTTTCAGCTAAGCGAGGACACATCTATTGACCAACAGTACACCAGCATTTTTGCCTCCTGACTCATCCGGGTGTCACTGGCAAAGGTATACATTACTAGAGAAAAGGCACTTTGTCACTGCTGTGGACTGAACTGCATAGCCCCCCAATTCTTTGTGGAAGCCCCAACCCCCATTGTGTACTCAGAATAAGGAAGTAATTAAGGTTAGAAGAAGGCTTAAGGGAGGACCCTGGTGAATATCACTCAAGAGGACACGCCAAGGCACGTGCACGCTCTCTCTGCCACGCATGGACACTGAGAAAGCTGGAAAGAGAGCTCTCACCAGGAACCACATCAGCAGGCAACTTGATCTTAGACTTCCACCCTCCAGCACTGTGAGAAATAAACGTCTCCTGTTTAAGGCACCCAAACTGGCAGCATTTTGTTATGGCAGCCCTAGCTGATTAAGAATCATTAAAACAATTTGCTTCGAGTTTTGCAATGTGTCTATACATGTTTAAAGTCTTCATGTAGCTTTATATTTACGACCTTTTCTTAATATCACTTTTGATGATAACTGAAGGCAAATAGGCTTTTCTGCTTTTCCCTAAGGAGATAGCAGTAGAAGGGAAAAATATTGGGGAGATCGCTCCCCTTCTTGATTTAACTATCCTTTAGAAATTAGAAATGGTTAAATTTAAATGATTTTAGAGGAAAGGGCAGTCCTTTCAGAGGGGGATGTGACAGGCACTTAAAAGGAAATATAAGAAAAATCAAGTAAATATTTTTTATTATTCTGTTTGTTTATATTATTCTAGAAGTTCTTTCTTGTATATCCTGGAAATACAATGTCTAAGGTTAAATTAATAGATACAATATCTAACACTCCCCTTCTTTAAGTTTAGAGGAAAGATACTTCCTATATCTGCCCTGAAGAGAAATTAGATATTTTATTCAATCTTGAATTATCCTTGAATATTTTTTAAGTGTTTTCCATCACTACTAGAAACTCCTTTTGGCAAACTGGGCTGTGGCACAGACTGCTGGTGGTCTCTCAGAAACAATTCTTATTTTGTAGTAATGAAATTTCCAAGTTTTAGTGGGTAGATGTTTACTGTGAACAAATACATGTGCCAGCTTTCCTTGTAGCTGAATGTGACCAAGTGGCTGAATTCTGACCAATGGGATAGGAGTTAGAATGTGGGCAGGATTCAGTCACTTGGTCATATTCAGCTACCAGGAAAGCCGGCACGTATACTTCCAAGCAGCCACCTGTGCATCAATGATTAAGGCAGAATCTTGCCCCTAAGAGCTTTAACTGTAATAAGAGCAGACACATAATAAACACAGACAAGATTTGAGATAAATTCAAGAACTGACAGTGCTAAAGTAAAGATGGGATTATGAAAGAGGATGACTAAAAGAGGGACACTGTAGGCCTAAAGCCAGAGTATTCATATTCACTATCCCAGGAGTCTGAAGCTACGGGTCACACAACCAGTTCTGAGACTTACTAACTGGTGAGGTTCTAACTCGGTTCGGTCTTTCTCTCATAGAGCCTGAACTGTGGGGTTCCCATCACACTGCGGGGCTTCCCTGGTGGCTGAGCTGGTAAAGAATCTGCCTGCAATGGGAGAGACCTGGGTTCGATCCCTGGGTTGGGAAGATACCCGGGAGAAGGGAGAGGCTACCCACCCCAGTGTTCTGGTCTGGAGAATTCCATGGACTGTACGGTTCACGGGGCTGCAAAGAATCGGACACGACTGAGCGACTTTCACTTCACCTCATCACACCGCTAGGGGACGGAGCAGCCCCACCAGCTCACCCCAGCTCTGCAGCGGCCTGGACAATGGCTGTTCTCCAGGTGCCACAGCTGGCTACTCGGCCATCACACTGGTCTGAACTTCACTCACTTCTATTTAGAAACACCAATCTGTGGGGGGGCAGTGCATTTGTGGAAGTTATGTGCTGACATGAATTCCAATGGGAAGCTGGTTAAACTTCAAAAGTTATAAAAACGTGTACCTTCTGGGAATGAGAAAATGCACTTATTTAATCTTAACACCCCAGTTTTTAAGGCTAGAACAGATTCTGAAACATAGTAAAAATGCACTTATTTAATCTTAACACCCCAGTTTTTAAGGCTAGAACAGATTCTGAAACATAGTAGTAGTAGGTATCATCATTATCATTGTTATCACCACCATCATCACCAACATTTACAGAAGAGATTAAGGAAATTTAAACCATTTCCCTAAAGCCCACCATTGGTGCTAAAGCCCCTAATTCTTGGTCCAGTGCTTTCCCCATTCAAAACAATATCCTATTTCTTCTAATATTATTACCCCCACCACATGTCCATACCAACTCTGAGTCAAAGTCCCAGTGACCTTAAACTTGATATGACACTCCTGTATGGCGACGCCTCCCCCTCTGATGAAACCTGACTAACAGCATATACTGTTAGACAGGAGCCTGGTGTTACTAATATCTACACAGGTCTTCCTTTTTGATCCACACCCATTTCTAACATTTTAGGATAGGCTACTGCAACTCACTGTGTTGGGGAAGTTGGTGGACACAGGGAAGAGGTGAAATAAAATCTCTGATAATTCCAGGCAGAGGCCAAGTTTTGGAGGGAAAGTCATATGACTGTACACAGAACTGTGTTTCGCTTCCTTACTTTTGGTTTTGGTTGGATTTGGCTTTGTCACAATGATATAGTTATTTCTGAAATTGTAAATAACATTAAAGAAAGTCTAAAACTGTTATCTTTTCAAAGGCAAGTGGGGGCAGCGGGAGTCTACAGGTGGAGAATGGTTGAGAAACAAAGACCCAGACTCTTCCCACCTCACCCTGCTTCACTGGAGCCTTCAGGTTGGTCTCTCTGCTTTGTCTCCTCCAGCCACTTTACACACTCCTTTTCAGAACTCGTTCTTCAACAACTTTTAACCCTATTATGTCCCTGTGTGAGGACCCAGTGGCTTCCTGCTATCTGCAGTTTCCTGGCTGGATCCCTCTGGCTTCCAAGGCAGTCGCAAAAATTCTGGAAGCCAGCTGGGCTGAAGCAGCCTGTTGGCTTGGGTCTGAATGCTGCCATTAACTTGGCAAATGACCTTGAATGTGTTATGGAACTTCCCTGTATTTCTCCTGTGACATGGGATTAAATGGAACTTCTCTGCATGACCTCACTGACAGGAGAAAATGCACGCAAAACTCCTTTGCTGTGAAACATCAGGCGCATCGATCTTCCTGAGTGGGCAGGGCTTATGTCCCAGCTGACATCGAACACTATCTTGAAAACAGAGCAGATTCTCAACAGATGTGTACTGAATAAGGACTTACTGCCCAGCACCCCCTACTGACAAGGTCTCAAACGACTATAAACATACAATCTCACATCCTACAGGGCTTCACACACTGTAGGTGCTCAATCAAGATTTTGTGAAGCAATGAATCAATGAATGAAAGCAAATCTTACTTCAGTTGGGCAGCCTTTCTGATCATGACATTTACTGAGCGCTGACTCTCTACCAACTATTCTTCCAAGAGCTACCTACATCCAATAGCTCACTTAAATCCTCACAAGAGGGGAAACTGCAGCATGGGGAGGCTGCTGAACAAGGCTCCTGGTTACAGAGGCAGCAAACGTGGAGCTGGGAAGGGAGCCTGGCAGGCAGCTCGGGGCACACCCTCTTAACCACGCTCAGAGCCTCTTCTTCCAGGCGGCCTCTGCCTCCAAGCCTTTTCTCGTCCTGTGCTTTTCATTTGGAATGTCCTCCTCCTGTCCTCCCACTGACCTAACATCCTTCTATTCGCCAGAGTCCCCCCTCCAATCCCAGGGACCACAAGGAGCCTTTCCGGGGCACTCCAGCATCGGATTCTCCTCCGGATTCAGACTGCAGGTCTGCTTACTGTTGCAGACCTTCTCAGCTCAAGGGAAAGGCTTATCCAGGAGTCATTCTCTATCCTCCAATCCCGTGCAGCGCAAAGTGTGCTACACAACAGATTCTCCGTCAACACTGACAGTCTGACTGCCCAGCTCAATGAGGGTGGGAACGGCTGATGTCGAGTGTTTACTAGATTCCAGATCTTGAGCTTGGAGAGGGAAATGGCAACTCACTCCAGTATTCTTGCTTGGAAAATCCCATTGACAGAGGAGCCTGGTAGGCTACAGTCCACGGGGTCACAGGAGTTGGACACGTCTTAGCGACCAAGCCACCACCACCACCAGACCTTGAGCTCAGCTCTTCACCTGGACTTCAGTCTTGTAAGATACATACAGTCACCCCGTTTTAGAGGCGCCCTGTGGTCTGATCAAGCTGGAGTCTGTGTGACTCCGCAGGATGCTGATTCACATCTGCTGTCACCTCTGCCACAAGCAATGCAGTTCCTGCCACCCTTCTGTTAGCTGCAGCTGGACAAGTTACAAGGGAGCAAAGATGTTGGGTTTGTAAAGGAAGCAGTTATTTACCTGCAAGAGTTAACTTTCCTTCATAGAGAAGGTGTCTATTGGTTGGTGACAGGATGTTTTCTGCCATGTGTTCTTTAAAAATGTGTTTCAGGCACTGGAAAAACAAGGGAGAAAAATCAAAGAGAAGTTAGTGATTAGAAGACAGCATGTTCCAGGAGCTGAGAGCTGAGACATTTGGAAATGCCAGTAAGTGGCCATGGGACTGGGGAAGAATGGGAAAACCTCTTAGAAGGATCAGCCCAGGAATGGCGTGATGATGCCAGCCTCCCCACCACACACAATGCCATGTGGATGAAGGCTTTACATCAGCAAGATTTATAATTCTGGTGGGCAGCTGGGGACTTTGTAATAAGATTAGTGTATTTCCACCCAAATGCCAAATGTCTGGAAAGGGACGTATGTTCTAACTGATCCCTTTTGTACCTCTGGAATGAAAAACCTTTTATCTCGATCCCAAAGTGGAGGCCACACTACAATCTCCTGTAGATGTCTGAACTTCTGAAAATTGTCAAGCCACTTCACTTTTCCTTCAAGATCCCCTAAAAGACAAGACACATCCAATATATTTTAAAATGCATGAGACATTACAGCATAAAATTTAACCAAGATCCATAGAAATCATTCAGACATTGAACCCTCTGGAACCAAACTATATCTTAGGTTCATTTAACATATTTCTCGCTGTTTGAACACCTTAGAAAAACTAATTTGAAATCAGCCTCTTGAAGAGAAAATGAAGCTGAACTAATTCAGTAAATTGTAAATGTGTATTTTTATTTCAATAATACTAATAATGCCCCTGGTAGCTCTCTCATATTTCCTGCATCATACAGCCGGTGATTACAGGAAGGAAAAAAATCAGACTAACAAGGACAAGCATATCTTTTTGCCTTAATCATAAAACACACATTCCCTTTATGGTAAAGTTGATTATTTCTTCTGGTAAGAATGTGTTTTTTCTTCAAAGGTTTGTATTAGTTTCCCAATATTTTTAAATAACATATTGCTATTGAGGTTTTGAAATTATTTTTGAAAATACGGAGGGCAAGTCGTAGTCCCACAGAATTAATGGTTAGGGGAATCTTTGAGAATTCACTATCTTTAAGCTCATAAACTCAGAGGAAGGCCACAGGGATGTCTTTCCTCAACAATGAAAATTCAGATTTTATTGAGAAATTCCTGGAAGAGATGTTATTATCTTCCTCACAAACCTATCAAAATGAGTAGTAATCTTCAAAATTACTTTAAAATTTAAAAAAGTCTGTCTTTAATTGAATTTTCTGTCAATCAATTTGATAAGCTTAATTCTAGTTCCCTGGGTCGGTCATTAGAGAATTTGAAAAAAAACTTAAAAAAGGGAAAGAACTCCTAACTGAGTGGTCATTTTAAACATGTAAAAGAAAAAATATATCATTTCTGTACAGCTGATAATTACCAATTTGAATTGTTCCTTTTTGGTGCTCCCTAGGAAATTTTTTGTGGACACCTATCACGGATTTCTTTATTTGGATTTGACTATACATAGCTACCCAAATAGACTTAAATTATTACAGGGCTTGCTCTTTTATCCTCTAATTTCAGTTCTAAATATTGCAGTTGGTGTTATATTTAGATTGGCCCTCGATTTCAGTGACCTAAAAAAAAAATGACGGTGGCAATTTATCCTCCAGAAAGGCTTTTCATGCTGTTTACTTCCATTTGCTTTGTGTGTGGGTTCAGTATGGATGTTAAAAACCAAGTGCCTTCATCATCTGGGAAGTAGAAGTTTTCCTGCCTGAACTCACATCTGAAAATCGTGGAGACTGCGTGAACCCTTAAGAGTTAAGAGTTCTCACAGGGTTGCCAGGATGTGCGTGGAGCCCATTGTTGTGAGTGTGTTTGATTTACATTGCAAACTCAAAGTCAAATCCACATTTCCAGAGCCGGTGACCTCAGCCCAATGGAATCACCTCCTAGCTTGGAAGCCCAGCTGGTTCCCAGGAGCACCAGGGCCCCCCAACTCTTTGACTAGAGCTGACACTGGGGCTCTGGGTTCCTCATTTCAGGGACTTACGGATTGACTTTTCCACCTTTTCCTTGATGGAGTAGATCATGATTTTCTCCGTAGAGTCTGTACTCCTTTTCCAGATATTCTTCAGCAACAAGGGGTATCGAGTCAGCCTGTGTAGTGGGGCCACGAGCAGCTCAGGTAAGTGAAGGCGTCTACACTGGTCATTTTGCTCACACCACTGGGGAAGGCAAAACCAGGCCCATCAGAACATTGCTTCTCCTATCGGGGCACTGAGGAATCTGGACACAAGAAAACCTTAAGAGATCTCACTCAGTAATGACATAACACACCTGTGAGCTTGCTGGGAAGAATTATAAGGACTGAATATTCATTGGAAGGACTAGATCCTGCTTTTGAAAATTGCTTATTAAACCGTCTTAGCAAGCATTTATCTACTAGTACCGAATTCAGGATCTCAAATGGGTCTCTCTTTTTTTTTTGCAATGTGCAAAAAAAATATGTGTATTATATACATATGTGTGTATATGTGTATTATACACATATTCCAGCCTTGTTTACCCTTCTGACTGACTTTAGTTTTCCCTTTTGCTCTTCCCCGGCCCCTGAGGTTGATTTCTGGGTTTGCCAACTCTGCTACCATCTTTGCTATAGTGCAGTTAGAAAAACTGAGAATCGACACTGGATGGGGAGAAAGGAAAAGGAAGGATTTTTGCTTATTGGGTGAGTTCCGTAACTCTCCTTTGTTGGAGGGAATCAGAATAATGAGAAAATGAGGCTGAAGAGGCTAAACTGATCTACATCATGTAGAAGAGAGATGAGAAGAAAAAAGACACAAATGGTTGTCAATAGCGAGAGTTTGTTCAAGGAGGCGGCTGCCAGGTGTACATACAATGGGGAAGACATGAAAGGAAATTTTAGTTAAGTACTGCTACAAGTTAGGCCTTACAAATGGCTGAGAAAAGAAGTGAAAGGCAAAGGAGAAAAGGAAAGATATATTCATCTGAATGCAGAGTTCCAAAAAACAGCAAGGAGAGATAAGAAAGTCTTCCTAAGTGAACAATGCAAAGAAATAGAGGAAAACAATAGAATGGGAAAGACTAGAGATCTCTTCAAGAAAACCAGAGATACCAAGGGAACATTTCATGCAAAGATGGTAACAATAAAGGAGAGAAATGGTATGGACCTAACAGAAGCAGAAGATATTAAGAAGAGGTGGCAATAATACACAGAAGAACTGTATCAAAAAGGTCTTAATGACCCAAATAATCAAGACAGTGTGATCACTTACCTAGAGCTAGACATTCTAGACTGTGAAGTCAAGTGGGCCTTAGGAAGCATTACTAGGAACAAAGCTCATGGAGGTGTTAGAATTCCAGCTGAACTATTTAGAATCCTACAAGATGATGTTGTTAAAGTGCTGCAGTCAATATGACAGTAAATTTGGAAAACTCAGCAGTGGCCACAGGACTGGAAGAGGCGTTTTCATTCCAATCCCAAAGAAAGGCAATGCTAAAGAATGTTCAAACTATTGCACAATCACACTCATTTCACATGCTAGCAAGGTAATGCTCAAAATCCTTTAAGCTAGGCTTCAATAGTACGTGAACCAAGAACTTCCAGATGCTAAAGGTGGATTCAGAAAAGACAGAGGAACCAGAGATCAAATTGCCAACGTTTGTTAGATCATAGAGAAAGCAAAAGAATTCCAGAGAAACATCTACTTCTGGTTCATTGACTACACTAAAGCCTTTGACTGTGTTCATCACAGCAAACTGCAGAAAATTCTTAAAGAGATGGCAATATACGACCTTACCTGCCTCCTGAGAAACCTATATGCAGGTCAAGGAGCAACAGTTAGAACCAGACATGGAATAATGGACTGGTTTAAAACTGGGAAAGAAGTATGCCAAGGCTGTATATTGTCACTCTGCTTATTTAACTTCTATGCAGAGCACATTATGAGAAATGCTGGGCTGGATGAATCACAAGCTGGAATCAAGACTGGCAGGAGAAGTATCAATAATCTCAGATATGCAGATGACATCACCTTAATGGCAGAAAGTGAAGAGGAACTAAAGAGGTTTTTGGTGAAAGTGAAAGAGGACAGTGAAAAAGTTGGCTTAAAACTCAACATTCAAAAAATGAAGATCATGGATTCTGGTCCCATCACTTCATGGCAAACAGGTGGGGAAAAATGGAAACAGTGACAAACTATTTTCCTGGGTTCCAAAGTCACTCTGACGGTGAATGCAGCCATGAAATTAAAAGATGCTTGTTCCGAGGGGAAAAATAAGCTATGACAAACCTAGACAGTGTATTAAAAAGCAGAGACATCATTTTGTTGACAAAGGTCCATATGGTCAAAGCTATGGTTTTTCCAGTAGTCATGTACAGATGTGAGAGCTGGACCATAAAGAAGGCTGAGCACCCAAGAATTGATGCTTTCGAGCTGTGGTATTGGAGAAGACTCTTGAGAGTCCCTTGGACAGCAAGGGGATCCAACCAGTCAATCTTAAAAGAAATAAACCCTGAATATTCATTGGAAGGACTGATGCTGATGATGAAGTGCCAATACTTTGGTCATCTGATGCAAAGAGCCAACTCTTTGAAAAAGAACCTGAGGGCAAGAAAAGCGGATGACAGAGGATGAGACGGTTGGATGGCATCATCGACTCAATGGACATGAGTTTGAGCAAACTCTGGGAGATAGTGAAGGAGAGGGAAGCCGGCGTGCTGCAGTCCATGGGGTTGTGAAGAATTGGACACAACTTAGTGACAACAAGAACACACATGGAAGTCATAGCCACCACCCACCACCCCATTTTGCTGGCTCCATTCTTTTCTTTGGAAGAAGAGAGTTCTTTCTCTTTCTTCCCCTCTCTTCCCTTCTCCAACTTTCCCCCTTTTCTCTCCTAGCCTCAAGCTTTGCAATTCTCCTTGTCTTCCATACCCTTTTACCCTAACAGCTATATCACATTTCTTCTAAAAACTTCCAGGCCTCTTCTTTATGGGAATTCTGCCATGCATGATCTTTCCCACTTCCCCACCTACAGATGGCAGGTCAGAAAAGTGAGGCCAGAGGTGCGTGGAGGATGGAGCCCTAGGGGCTAGGCTTTAAGGCTGAGGGACCACCTCCCCTCTCTGCACGTCAGATTCCTCTTCTATAAAGTGGGAGTAGGTATTAGACGACTTCCTAGTTCTCATCCAGCTCAAAATCGCTGTGATCCTCACTGGGGTTGAAGGGATGCAGGAAGCAGAGACTGCAGCCATGAAAGGGCTGGGAGCAGAAAGAGTGGAGGAAAGAGGTGTGGGAAGGCCGTCATCATCTGTGGCCTTCAGTTCAGTTGCTCAGTTGTGTCCGACTCTCTGCACCTCCATGGACTGAGGCACGCCAGACCTCCCTGTCCATCACCAACTCCCAGAGATTTAGTGGCTGACTGGCTGATTGCTGTACTGAGTCACCGGCAGCAGCATTCCAGCGCTACCTGCTGGTCCTTGTGGGAAGCTGGGGAGCTCCAGTAATTCAGTTCTCATCAGCAGTGAGGGATTCCCTCAAAACACACAGCCCCGGGTCACTGCTCCAAATTTCCATGCCGTGGGCAACAGCTCTGGTGGCTAGCACCCACTGGTGTTCAGGGTAAATACAAAGGCACTGAATCTCCCCCAGATATCAATCAGAAAAGAAATACCAGTGGTAAATAATTTAGACAAAGATCCAGGCAGAGATACACAAAATATTTATAGTGTTTTGAAAGGTCTCAGAAGAGCAAAAACAACAAAAAAAAGATATTTGATGATTCTAGAAGTGAAACTTTAACTTTTTCTTTCATTTCTCTGTTGGCTTTACTTTTCATATCTATTAGGGAAAGAAAAACTCTCTGTCATGAGAAATTGGATATACTTTTTTTCCTGGATGGGTCTAGATGAGTGGAATCTGCTTCAGTTTGACAATAAATAAATTTATATATAGTTGGGAGATCAAGATCGTGGAATAGAAGGACATAGACCTCACCAACTCCCACAAGTACATAAAAAATACACTTACATGTGTACCAATTCTCACAGAATACCTACTGAACACTGGCAGAAGAGTTCAGAGAACCAAAACTGCCAGGAAGATCACCATGCAGCAAGGTAGGATGGGATGGGACCTGTACTCCCGGGAGGCAGCTGTGAAAGAGGAAGGGTTCCTTGCCCTAGGAACAAATTTTGCTGTCTAGATCAGCCAGAACAGAACAGAAGCTGCAGAGGCTCAGAGAAGAGTGCAGCAGTTGGCTGAAGCAGGTAGAAAAGAGAGACCGGCACACCTGGTCTCAGCCACCTTGCTGCACTCCCCGGCTCCATGCATGTGTCTGTGAGTGCAGGTCGGGGGTGGGTGCTGAATCTTGGGTTTCAGCAGACAGATTTGGGGAGAGCACTGGGGTGGCTGTGCAGAGAGCCTGAAGTGGCCAGAGTGTGGACTGGGTGGCAACTGGGGCTGTGGGTGGGATGAAACTTGGGTCTGTGACAGAAGCCCTATTGTTGACGAGCACCTGAAGGGAGAGGTGGGGCCCCACAGGGTGCTCACAGCGGGCAGGGCTCTGGGAGCACGTGAGTACCTGCTGTTCCCCCACACAGAGGTGGGGTTGAAATCTGAGCCGTATCAGGAGACTTTGGGCTTCAGGCAGAAGTGGCTTTAGGCAGCCAGTGCCTTTGTAAGTTAAGTGACTGTGGGACATCCGAGCAGAGGACCGATGCTCCCATAGCGGGGGCAAGTCCAGAGTCAGCAGCCGCGGGTTCTGCAGGTACACGTACGTGGCGGTGGGGCCAGGGTCTGTGCTCGTCCCGTAGCTCTGAGGCGGTCGAGGAGCATGACTACAGGCAGCTAAGAAAGGTCCTGGGGCCTGACTTCAGGGAATCTGTGCCTACAGATCTGAGCTGGTGGCTTTATGAGCACAGCACCTGAGGGACATCCATGCCAACCGCCTGCATTCCCACGGCTGAGGAGGAGGTGGGGGCCATGCCAACAACCGTGTACGCTGTAAGCACACACAGCGGGCGACAGACACTATGGAGCACACTTCAGCGGACAGCTCCTGATGCGGGACACTCCTGGTTCCTCTCCCAGTGGTAATGCTCCAGGACTGCCTACCTTACACCGCAGCTCAGAAACAAGACGATCTGGGGGCTTCTACTACAACTGGGAGCAGACTGTGCTCCCAACAAAGCTGTGACAAC